CAGAACACAGCAGTTCGTATTCTTTAATCTTCAAAAGGTGAAGCAAAGTATCCTCAAGCGTTTCAATCTGCATAAAAGTTTTAAAAAAAAATTAAAAAATTAAAAAAAAAGTAACAGTATTAGGTAATGAAGACCACGGCATAATTTAATATAATATAATTTAACATGTAAATGAAGAGAGGGGCGGTAAGAAATCAGGGAAAATATACTGCTTTCAAGTTCAATTTCTTGATTGATGAGGGTAGCAAATCTTTCATATCTGCTAAAAAGTTTATTGGCATCTGCAAGATGATAATGCAAGTTAAAAAATTCACGAATCAACACAAGAAGAACAGGAAATCTCTACGACTTTGTCATCAGATGTGGTTAGCAGACAAGTATTCTTATCAACCAAAAAGACAGTCAACTTACCTCTGTCCAATGCATAAGTGTTCTACATTTATTGACCTCAATCATCTTGCTTCCATTGCTCATTTGATTGGACTCTTCTAACGATGAGTCTGAATTACAACCTCCACTATGATTAAGTTTCGGGCTTTGATGAATCCTTGTTAATATGCCATGATCATCGTGATCTCCATCAAGAGGAATCATGTCAATGTTTCTTCTTTTGCTCCCAGAAAGATTGTGATTGGCCTTCCTTGAAGAACTCACCAACATTTGGCTAGCTTGATCATAATCATGATTAATACGTCCACCAAAACTGGATGTTGGAGAAGCCAAAACTTTCCTCATTAAGGTCCCATCATCTTCTGTTTCTTCGCAAGGATCATCCCTGAAGGGACTTTGAAATGGTCTTTTCCTTGCAGAATTATGAGATTGTTTGTTCTTGAAGGGACTCGGAGTTGACTTACTAGAGATGACAATATCGGTCTCTTTTTTGCCAGACGATGTCTGGGTTGAAATTATCCTTCTGGGACTGTAGTTTGGCATTCCATTGAAGGGACTCTAAGGTTAAAAAATAATAAAATAATAAAAAAACAAACTCAATATGAACTTTCAAAGATGGAGAGAACAGCCATTAAAGATGGCAATAAATTATTTGCATAAACTGAAAACCCGATTAAGAAGATAACTATGCACATTAGATTTGAGTAGAAAGTTGACTACTGATAAGGTAACTTTCAAAGGAGATTTTCACTCGAACTTGGGGCTGTATCCGACTGTATACATAATTAGTTCATAAATATTGCTAACGAAAAGGAAAGAGAACCTGCAGAGAGGATAATCCACTTGTCCAAGCCTTCTGAAACTGTGGTGAAACAACACCAACATTGGATCTCTTAGCCGGACTTGCCAATTGAGAATTTTGTATGTTCCCATCTATTGAAGAAAGTTGCAAATTGCTGAAGGTTTCAGAATTATCCTGCAAATTTGAAAGGTTATCTCCATAAGCAGCCGCATCCAACAAAGACGAATCTTTGAACGGTGAAGTTGACACAGCTCCACTTTTGGATTGAAATGAACTTGAATTGTCAGCAGCTCCACCTAGCATCAGACGATCACTAACATGCTTGACTTGTTGGTCACACTGCTTCAGTTCACCAAAGCAACTAGTCAAACATTCAGTGGCTCCTAATAATCTCACAACTGAACTTTTCAAAGGAGATGAAACAGGTGTATCATGTATAATAGTTGAGTTATTCTGTTCTTTGTCATCAGGTTTAAGGTCTGTTGACAAGGCATCAATTTTATGACTAGTAGATGACCCCGATAAACGATCTTCTGACTTCATCATATGTGGAGTAAGATCCTTTTTCTCAGACCAAGTATGAGCGGGTGACTTCGCTTCTATAGCTGGCTGACTAGGTTGCAAGCGGGAAATGTTTGCCAGAGCCATAGAGCCTGGTGTTTCTCCAACCTCAGTTACACATTTTGGCTCTTCACTTTGGCTCAACCTAAGGAAGTCTTTTGAATTTTCGACTACACTACCACCAATGCTAAATGAACTTTGACATTCACCATTTTCATTCACTGTAGAAAGTCGTTCTTCTAAACGCACAACAGGAATGTCTGTGTATTTGCATTTGAGATCCTTGAAACGATCAGGTCGACCACTCAAGTTAACTAAAGAAGAGTAACTTGATAGTCTGGATTTCAATCTGTCAGTTCCTTCTTTAATACTTGAAACACATGGTGAAGGTTCTGGTAGTCTGAACTTGGAAACAATTTTCTGCTTGGACGACAGATCCTTGCCAAGATTCATGCTTCCTGTACTCATTCTATAATCTGACAGCTTCGAGTTAGGAGTCATAAGAGCAGCAAATGAAGGTGAATTGAAAGTAGCAAAGGATGTTTTCCATTCAACAGATAAGGATCTATTCAGTGGAGATACATCTTTCAGCTTATAGTCAATGTTTTTTTGAGTCTCGAGCCTTTCATCCATCAGAAAATTCTCATTAACGCCTCCATCTGACAAATTTCCTTGCAACAAACCATTGGATCGAAAAACTTTATGGGGCGTGCCATTATTGAGTATAGTTCGCTCAACTGCATGTTTGGTGTATTCTTTGCTTCCCTGGGAAAAAAAATGGACAAACATCTTCACCCCTACTTGTGCAAAACTAGAAAAACACTTGGAAAATCTTCAATTACAGTAAGAAAATTAAAATACTTGAGCCGTGTGGTGGATGCAGAAAATTGCTAGATATTAGGATCATCCAGTCTATACCGAACAAAAACTAAGTTTAAATTGTGAGAACAATCCTTAGATAATAGTAAGGTAAGTCTGCTAAGCACAAAATATCAAAGAAGAACAAAACATCATACTAACATTTTCTTTTTCATTTCCCTCGGAAATTTCCTCATCATAGTGTTGTTGTACCATCTGATTGACTTCACGAGTCTCAATCTGTTTCGACAATTTTTCATCCACCGAAACATCATAGAGATCCCTGCTTCCTTCAGTCAAAAGTGCATCTAAAGATGGAGATAATCTCCCATAATCAAATTTATGGGGGTCCTCTCCCACGATACTCATTGCATTAGAATCTTTACTTCTTACCACATCATCAGACTGCAAAGATGGAGAAATCAGCTTGTCAGCCATCGTTAGAGTCATAAAACTGTCGGGGTTAGTAGGCATGGTGTTCTGGGTCCGTGTTCTATCTTCAAATGCAAGCCGAAATGCTGTGGGAGTCCTAATATCCGCCCCCGAGTCTGACCCAGCAAGGCTACGAAAATGCATTGAAAATGATTTTGAATCCATTGTAACATCGTGATTATTATCAGAGGCAGCAGAATCAGACAGCCGCCTGGATTTAATGAAACTCGATGATACAGGTCCAAAAAAATTGTCATCTGCAATAGTGAATTGGGTGAATGTTTTAGGGAAACTAACTTTCATAAATTGTTACTTTAAAAAAACAATTAACCATGAAAGAAATGATATCTTCAAAACTCCATGTCTCGAGAACAATCAAATCGCAAAACCGACCAAACAAAATGCTAGAGAAAACGAAGAGAGAAAGAAACAGAAAAACGTGCCATCATTGGAGGCTGCAGAGCCGGCAGAAATGCTCCGGGGCGACGGCGATCCAAGTGGCCTCAAAAACGATTTCCTCTGCCCAAGAACATCATCATCCAAATTAGGCGAAGATTCACGAGAATCATCGCTATCAACCAAGTCCCTGAAGAACCCCAGGACCTCGTTATCCGGAGTAGCGGCCTCGGGAGTGGCTTGGGTCTCAGGAGGGGTCTCGTAGTCCTCGTCACGGTTGAAGATATGGACGGAAGTGATCTCAACGTCGGCAAAGCTCACGCGTCGGGCCCGTTTCTTCTTGAAGGCCAGAGTTTCTTCCTCAGTGGTGTTGGCGGCCTCTTCGGGTTCCTTGGAAGCCATTGGAGGAAGGTGAAATTACAGAGCTCAATGGGTGAGAGAGGTTTCGGAGTTCAGCGGTGAGAGTTCATGAGATTCCGAGCAGTAAACGGAGTTTTGATCGGAATTGGACCGCCGGAGATGAGAGAATAGGAAGAAGATTGAAGAAATTTGGGAGTAACATTGTCTGCGCGGGCAAGTGGAGAGATTTCAAAATGTTTAAATACAGATTTTTCGAATAACGAATAGTCTTTGCTGTGAATTTTAAAATGAATAAATAAATGCCAAATGTATTTTTCAATGAAAATATTTGTTGATTTTCTATTAAAAAAATTAAAGGTAAGAATTTTTTTTTAATGGACAAAGGCTTTAAAACACGGTCGGGGAAGGTTTTCACACCCGGTTTGTTTTCCTCTCCAACTAATGTTCGGGACCCAGCATCCTCGCTGGCACCCGTTCCTTTATCCAATTGGGACCGCCCCCAAATCCATTCCCTTTGGTCCAGCGTCTTTACTGGCACACCGCCTCGTGTCTATCCCTACAGAAAACAGTGAGAATGCTGGCACATCGTCCAATGTCTAGCTCTAATACCATTAGTAACGACCTAGGGCCACTGCTAACAGATATTGTTATCTTTAGGCTTTCCTCAAGGCTTTAAAACGCTTGGAAAGCACCCTTTACACCCAACCAATGTGGGACATCATAAATTTTCTATAATTTAGCATTTTTTTTCCCTTAAAAAACAGTTAGACTGTAATTTAGCTTTTATTTTACAAAAATAATTAGACTAATAAATAAGAAAAAGACTAAAAAAAATTTTGCTTTCTTCAAAATATCTCAAAAATAATTTTTTCCCAAATCCCATTTGGAGAATCTCGACCTCGATCCCTCCACAAGAAGGCAACAAAATCATCTTCATCCCAGCTTCGTGATTAATCACGCAATGGTCAATACGTGATTGATCAGTAACATTGCAATTTTTGAAAGAATAAGCATATTTCTAAAAATTTAGTATATAATTTTTTTACCGACCTAAAACCATGATATCGTTAACTAAAAAACGACAATAAGATAGAAAGTGTCAAATAAAAAGTGACAAATTGTGAGTAGGAATAAACTACCGAGATCAAATTGAAACTGTATCCTAAATTCATATCTTAAACAAACAAACAAAAAAGAAAAAAAAAAATCAAAATCAAAATCAAAATCAAAATCATCCTTTCTTCCTCCCTCTACCTTCGTTCATTCTTCACTATTGCCTCCATGTTAGCCAATCGAAGAACATTTGCTTTGAAAGCAAATTCAAAGATAAAAGAAATTGGTTGCTATATAAAAAAGAACAAAGTTCTTAGTCATTGTATTTGTAAGCAGATGAACCATACCATCAGCCATATAATGCACGCCATGGCTCCTGGACATCTTTTGATGTTTCTTTTGGATTCCAAACGATTTCTTCCCTTGAGAAGCTGAGTGGCAATGAGCTTGCTAAAAGCTCACCCATTTCCCTCATTATCTGGACAAGAAACCACAGAGAATCTGTAAAAAAAAACTGAGATTTGAAAAGCAACAATGCAGAGAACTCGAATCAACCAGCAGTTCCAACGGCACACGACGCACTAATCGAGTATTTTTAGACGATTTTGAGTAACTTGCAAGTATTTTTGGAAGAAGCAGAAATCAAGTGTGATGCCCCCATGTTGGTTGGGGAGGAAAACAAATCACCCTTTACAAGGGTGTGGAAACCTTCCCCTAGGAGATGCGTTTTAAAGCCTTGAGGGGAAGCCCGAAAGGGAAAACCAAAAGAGGACAATATCTGCTAGCGGTAGATCTGGGTCGTTACATCAAGTCCTCCCTAAAGTCAGTTCCGGTGCTTTGAATAGAAAAACTCCTTTCATGCTTGAATTTGGATTATATCATGGCTAACTTTGTGTAAGAAACTACTAGGAATGGCAATAATATAAAATATAAAATGATTGATTGAATACTCACCTGAATCTCTTCTCCTGCAGCTTGATTGGAAAGAATACGACCGGTACGTCCAACCAGGAAAAAAGCAGGAATGTTCAAGAAGCGAATCAAGTGAAATAAACAGGCCAGTTGTTCGCAATAGATCTGTGAAGTTGATGGCAGTTTCTGGACTTTGGCAATCAACGTTCGAGAAATATCGGTTTCTGGACCCATCGCAGCACCGTGCAGAAGAACAGACCGATCAGTTTTAGTGAGAGTTTTGTTCTCCCACTTGAGCTTCGAGGATGCAATAACGAATGGGACTACAAGAGCGGGTTTTGAAGAAGAGGGTGAACTTCCTCCTGCTATATGTGAAAGAACTTCATTTAGAGCACATGCCAAGACTGGAGGATCGTAACTTTGTAAGATCAACACTGAGACCTGAAAATTAAAGCAAAAACAATTGGTGAAAAGGAGAAAAGAAATAATGCACCAAGTAAAATTTCTAGTTAAGTTCATGTGTGGAATCAGATCAGCTGACGAAACAAGTAAAATGCTGTTATTACACCGGAAGTTGCAAAAGACCACATTCTATACTTTGAGCCCTCAAGATAAGTAAATGTTTGATAAAAATCTTCTGGAGCTTGGAAGATAGATGCTCAAGATAAAAGCATAGAAAGAAACAGCGTTAAAAAAAACCGTAATACCATTTTCGCACCTTCCCGAACATATCTAACAATAATCCTCAGTTGCAAAACGGAATCAATTCAGTTCACTGTTCAATTTCCAACTGAGACTCAATCTAGTAATACCTCAATCAACCTACTCAAAGGTAACAAAAAGTAGATTTTAATCCCCGTGAAGAGAGACCCAAACGTGCCACAAAAAGGAAATTTAACATTTCAAGATGTAGAAAACTCTGTTTTCCTTCTGATAGAGAGTCCACCGCAAGCTTTTATGTCATTCCAATGAGCCTAGATAGGCTAATGACTAAATCCAACCTGAAATAGAGTGCACGGAACTGCGTTTTATCACACTTTTCCTCTTCTCGCCATTGATCACGTGCCTAAGCCTCAACTCACACTTCACGATTTAACCTAGCTCCTTAACTGGTGCATGTCGTGTTAGAAAGCAAAGGAATATGTCAGCCAGCTGATCCTAACCTATTGCTTCAATAAAAACATCTGACAATTTTTCTCATATAAATAGACTTGGGCTGGAACTGCTACACCAAGAAATGCAGACATTCCTTCAAGAATAATGCTCTGATGCAGTGACTAAATACATAAAGAATAGTCCTACACTACCAAAACGATAAAATCCTAATGTCTTATCAATATTTCTTTGAGTTCTTTTAAAGCCTTCACTTCATAATACACAAATGTGAATTTCATCGCCAAACAGATTAATAAGTATAGGAGAGAAGTGGAAGATCGGATGATTTTACATCAAAGAGTAACTAAGCATTGATATGGTGCCAGTAAAATCCTTTTTGATGCCTAATTTAGACTCAAAACATAGCTAGTTCGAGCAGTATTGAGCAAGGAAAGTATTGTGTGCCTCGTGAGATCACTCACATCCTCTATTTCTAGAAGAAAGTAATAATTTCCCCGAAATTGCTGTAGTGCCTAAGGATGCCTAGAGAATTTCTCACATGTTGCTATCTCACATCTCACCTCGATCATGCCTATGCAGTTGACTAAGCTACTGCTTTAATAGGGGACTGATGACCTCTCCTCCCTTGGCATCGACATTGCACTCGCCCTAAATCAACTTTGATGAGTTGGGTGTGTTCATCCTATTTTGTTCCTTTTAACTAATAAGGACGAGCGCAGTCCTGTCCGAGTTACGCTATAAAAATGACAAACCAACTTTCATTTCATGGTACACACCCCTAAAAAAGAACTAGCCCCACCAACAAGAAGTGCAACACTAACTAAGAGAAGGACTCCAATCTAACAAGACCTAACCAAGAATTACAAAACAACAAACGAACCAATGCCCATAACAAAGTATAAACGAGCATAATTTCCCTAACTTCACTCGAAGGTCTCTCCACACCCCTAAAAATCCTATTACACCTCTTTATCCATAGACCTCAAAACAAAGTATAGATACATGCTCTGCCAAGGGACTCTGTTCTTATCCCATAAAGGAGGCCTTTCTTATTGCTTTGAGGAATTGGATGGATGATGCCAATGATCCACGCGGATGTATCGATCGGTATCATATTGAAACAACCAAATGGTGATCAAAAAAGGAAACGTTTAGCTTTACAGTAGTCTAGGTGCTACATCCCACTCCCATTCATATTTGAACATGTCACCATCTATTTCATTGCTTTAATCAATAAGTCTTCTAATGACATGATTAACATATATTGCCATATTTAATCACGTCGTTATTTATTTCATACAAGAATTCCACACTACGAAAGAACCACAATATGTCCACTTCACCGGCTGAGATTTTGATAATCCGGCTGAGATGATCTAACAAGAAATTCGAAGTTGCATAGCTAGTTCATAACATGTTTAGCACTGACATTCTCACCAAAAAAACTTCGAGCCATTTTTCAAGAACTCCAGCTCCAAATTTTTTTATCGGAAACCGAAAGAAGTCTAAAAATCATAAACAAACATAACTCACTATCACTCCTTAAGTACCAGATAGATTCCCTTATCGTCGAGATAGTGAATGACGCTCCCGGAGGCCTTGTGGTCTTTGATTCCATAGTCCTCCAGGGAGAACTCGAAGCATTCATCTCTGTACCAAAATCAAGCCAAATTTTATCTGTTAGACAAATAATCACTGAATTCAATGCGGAAAAAATAAACATAGGGAAAATGAGCCAACCGCGTGGAAACCGTGAAAGGAGGGTTGGGGCGAAGAGCACCGGAAATGGCTGAGGCGAAACCCTCGGAATCAATGATGAGAAATATTACTTTCGGAGCTAATTTCATTCTCTTCTCTCTGAGCTCGAACTCTGAGACGGTGAATCGCCGGCGGAGAAGATCGAAATCAGATAACCTTGTGCCGGTTTATCAGCTTCAGTATCATTGATGAACTGCGTCGATGGCACGTGCGAAGCCCAATTTTCACAAATGGCCTAATTTACCAATATTTACCCTTTTCTAATTTTTTAATTACCTATTTAAATTTGTGAAATCGTCCCTTTTGACTTATTACCCATCACCCTCAATCAATGCGGGGTTCCCCTTTCCAACGGGATCTCACAATCCACCCCTCTTGGGCCTCAACATCCTGGCACACCACCCGATGTCTGCCTCCGACACCATTTGTAATACCCCAACCCCACTTCTAGTATATATTGTCCATTACGTATCATCGTCAGCCTAATTGTTTTAAAACACGTCTACTAGGAAGAGTTTTCTACACGCTTATAAGGAATATTTCGTTTCCCTATCCAACTGACGTGGAAATTCACAATTCTCCTTTAATGATATTCTTTAGCGGCATATAACCTTTTACAACGACAACGAGAGACTTACAAATTGCTCTCAGTGATAGCGGGTGTGATTGTGACAATGACTTCAGCTACGACGTTGACTATGAATAGTAGTGACATTGATAGTTAGCTGTTACCAACGACAGTAGTAGACCAATTATCATTGGACTATGCTCATTTTAGCGAATAAACTTTATTGATACAATAAATAAAAGAGAATAAAAGCTGTAAAGTCATTAATGAAAAGTTAATAGATGCCGTCAATGCACGAGACAATCTCAATAAAAGTTGTAAAGCTAATAAAAACAGATGTCGGGTTCGTGAAATAAAAAAATTAGATTAACGAGCATTATACATAAAATTCTAATTCAATATGTTTTTTGAGTTTAATATGCGACCGAAAATATTCAAATTTTTAACATTTTGATCGAAAATACATATAAATAATTTATTTTTTTAATTACAAATTTAACCTTTAAACTAAAAATATATAACATGTCTCTTAAATTTTGAATATAAGTTCCATAATTTTCAAAATTAAATTGCATGTATAATAAAATTTTGAAATTATATTTAATAAATAATAAAAAATTTAAAAATTTAAAAATTAAATAATTGTCGCTTCAAGCCACTTCCACGTAGGCGAAGGAACAATCCAAAAATTTGGAATGTAGTGGGGTAATATTCCAGTGTGGCCCAGTGTACTGAAACAACGTTGCCATCACTTTCAAGTTCAACGGCGATCCCGATCCTTGGGCCCGATCTGTGTTTAATGTTTCAACGATTCCTTTATTTATTATCTAAATTTTTTTTTTTTTTTAAAAAAAAGGAAAAAATATTAATAAATTAAAAAGAAAAGGAAATGGACGGTGCTAATTTAATCAATATTATAATGACACGTTTATTTATTTAGAATGTGCTTTGGGAATAAATTTATTATGCTTTGATTTGAAGTTATTTATTTATTTATTCCAAGGTTTATTGAAATTTTATTTTAATAAAATTTAATATTATATTTAGATTTTTTTAAAATATGCTCCTTTATTATTATTATTATTTTTTTTCACGAAATGGATAAATTCAAGCTAAATATGATCGAGCATGCTTGAAGCTAGAGATGTTCGTTTAACTTCTAAAGACCTGTTGTGATGTCCCACATTGGTTGGGGAGGGGAGAACAAATCACCATTTATAAGAGCGTGGAAACCTTTCCCTAGTTTTAAAGCATTGAGGGGAAGCTCGAAAGGTAAAGCCCAAAGAGGACAATGTCTGCTAGCGGTGGATCTAGGACATTACAAATGGTATTAAAGCCAGACACCGGACAATGTGCCAGCCTTCTCGTTGTTCCCCGAAGGGGGTAGACACGAGGCGGTGTGCCCCCAAAGGGGTGGATTAGGGGGTGGTCCCACATCGATTGGAGGAAGGAAAGAGTACAAGTGAGGACGCTGGGCCCCGAACGGGGATGGATTGTGATGTCTCACATTAGTTGGGGAGAAGAATAAACCACCAATTATAAGGGTGTAAAACCTTCTCCTGGCAGACGAGTTTTAAAGCCTTGAGGGAAAGCTCGAAAGGAAAAGTCCAAAGAGGACAATATCTGCTAGTGGTGGATCTAGGCCGTTACACTTGTTCTGAACATATTTTGTGAGGGAGCCGGGATTTTTAGCACGGGGTCGAGACATTGTCCTTGCCTTCAACCCGGTCAAATACCGGCCTCATTCACACAATAATATTGAAATATGAGTTTTTTTTTTTTTTTATAAGATTATATTATATTTTTGTTTATGAAATATTATTAAATTTATTAGATGCTCACATTTTTTTAATTTATTATTTTTTAGTTCAACAACGGGAACGAGTCATTTGGTTATGAGATTGACTAGGACAACCACGTAAGAAAAATAATACACACGTGGAATATAAATTAAATTGATTTAATTTTAAATAAAAATAAACGGTTCCAAAAAGGTCTAAAAGGAAGAGTCCATGTGAGCTATGAATAGATTCGTGAATCCACGTCCACTCAATCTTATCAAATTAGAAAATTACTAATTTCCTTTAATTTTATTTAATTTTTAATGGGGAGCCGCTAGAACTTTTATATTCCCCATATTACCCTTCCACAACCACGTTCTAAGCTACCAAAAGCGTGGTAAATGACGTAATAAAGTGAAAGTTGGAAGGTTAAAATCGACCGTAAAACCACACCATATATCACAGTGGCGAAGCAAATCTGTCGTTTGGTAGTAGAGTTGCAGAGCTGATCTCTGCTTTTCATTTTCCGGCCACCGGCTCATCGGAGAAGATACCGGGTTTTGCTTTCTGTTTTTCTTCCGATTTGAATTGACTGCTTTAATGGCATCCTCAATGGCTGCAGCTGGAGTTCTTAGACTTCCCATGACGGCGTCGTCGGCGTCAAGCGGCAGTTCTAACCGTGCAAGGAGAAGCAACCTTGGGAGCCTTTCGTTCTCTGAATCTCTCGTTTCTGGTGATAAAATCGATTTTAGAGCTTCTGGTTTGGGATCACGACGAGTTTCCGGTGGTAGAGGGCCTTCTTTGATCGTCTCTCCCAAAGCGGTTTCTGATTCCAAGAACTCTCAGACTTGCCTCGATCCAGACGCTAGCCGGGTTCGTATTCTTGTTTCTTTGTGGCATTCGTCGTTGCTTATTGTTCTTGATGCGTTTCCGGACTTTACGTCGTTTGATTTTCTGTTTTGAGCCGCCGCGAATTGATTTTCGATTATATGTTTTGTGTTGTTTAGAGTGTTCTAGGGATTATTCTTGGAGGTGGCGCTGGAACGCGGCTGTATCCGCTCACGAAGAAGCGAGCGAAGCCTGCTGTTCCTCTTGGAGCGAACTACAGGCTGATCGACATTCCTGTTAGCAATTGTCTCAACAGCAACATTTCCAAGATTTATGTTCTTACGCAATTCAATTCTGCTTCTCTTAACCGACATCTTTCTCGAGCTTATGCGAGTAACATGGGCGGTTACAAGAATGAAGGATTTGTTGAGGTTCTAGCCGCTCAGCAAAGTCCGGAGAATCCAAATTGGTTCCAGGTGATGAAATCAAGTTTATATTTATGCTTTCATGATCAATACGAATCCAAATTGGTTCTCTGAACGCTAGCATTAAAACTTCCGAATCCATTTTCTTCAAGTTTCTCGAAAAGTGATGAAATCAAGCTTAAATTTATGCTTTCATGATCAATACGAAAATTGGAAAAACTGAAACCTATCATTTTGTTCTGAAATTAGAACTTACGAATACATTTTCTGAAACCTATCATCTGATAGTTTGACACCATAATCTGTAGGGCACGGCTGATGCAGTTAGGCAATACTTGTGGCTATTTGAAGAGCATAATGTATTGGAATATCTAGTTCTTGCTGGTGATCATTTGTACCGAATGGATTACGAGAGATTCATTCAAGCACACAGGGAGACTGATGCAGATATCACTGTAGCTGCATTACCCATGGATGAAGAGCGTGCTACTGCATTTGGTCTGATGAAGATTGATGAAGAAGGGCGTATAGTTGAATTTGCAGAGAAGCCAAAAGGAGAGCAATTGAAAGCGATGAAGGTGAATCCCAACTTTCTATCCTCTCACGTTTGGCTGGTTATTACTCTCAGCGACCAATCTTTATCATTGCTATGTCTTCTTTCTTACAGGTTGATACTACTATTTTGGGGCTTGATGATGAGAGAGCGAAAGAGATGCCATACATAGCCAGCATGGGTATTTACGTTATCAGCAAGGATGCGATGCTGAGTCTTCTTAGAGATAAATTTCCCGGAGCAAATGATTTTGGGAGTGAAGTTATTCCTGGTGCAACTTCCATTGGAATGAGGGTAAGCATATAATGCTCAAGACAAGTCATAATATCATATCATCCATATATTTTGTAAATTTCTTAGTGGGAATGTGGTGGCAGTTATAAATGGTGTCAGAGCTAGACACCGGGTAGTGTACCAGAGCGAGGACACTGGCCCCAAGAGGGTAGATTGTGAGATCCCACCTCGGTTGGGAAGGGTCTGGAAACCTACCCCTAGTGGGCACGTTTTAAAAACCTTGGGGGGAGGCCCAAAAGGGAAAGCTCGAAAAAGACAATATCGGTGGATTGTGAGATCCCACATCGGTTGGGAAGAGTGTGGAAAACCTACCCCTAGTGGGCACGTTTTAAAAACCTTGGGGGCGCGAAAGAAAAAGCTCGAAAAAGACAATATCTGCTAGCGGTGGGCTTTAGTTAGGGTGGATTGTGAGATCCCACATCGGTTGGGAAGAGTGTGGAAAACCTACCCCTAGTGGGCACGTTTTAAAAACCTTGGGGGCCCGAAAGGAAAAGCTCGAAAAAGACAATATCTGCTAGCGGTGGGCTTTAGTTAGGGTGGATTGTGAGATCCCACGGTTGGGAAGAGTGTGGAAACCTCTCCCTAGTGGACACGTTTTAAAAACCTTGAAGAGAATCTCAAAAGAGAAAGCCCAAAGAGGATAATATTTGATAGCGGTGCACTTGTCCTGTTACAGGAAAGTTACAAGAAAGTATCAAATAATGGAACCGGTGCAAAGTCTAAACATTTCACCTATGATCATACTAGGATTCAGAAGAGAAAATAGACTAAGTTTAGACTAATGAGAATTCTGATCATGAACTCCTGTCACTTTGACTGTTCTTGGTTTGCTGCAGAGAAATGACTGTAAAGCTACTTTTATCAGGCCATGATCTCTATCACAAAGTGTTGCTTTGACATTACAGGTGCAAGCTTACTTGTATGATGGCTACTGGGAAGATATCGGTACCATAGAAGCCTTTTACAATGCGAATTTGGGGATCACGAAGAAGCCAATACCAGACTTTAGGTAATTGAGTCAAGTTCGATTCAGTTTCCCCATTTTGTTACCAATAAGCTGTTAACTTATCATTTGTTATTTGATACACGAAACACCCAACTGCAGCTTCTATGATCGTTCATCTCCAATCTACACGCAACCTCGATACTTACCGCCATCCAAAATGCTTGATGCTGATATCACAGACAGTGTTATTGGTGAGGGCTGTGTCATCAAGGTAACTCCCTTACAAGCAAAGTAGCTGTTTGCTATGCTAATAGCGTTGTTACATTGTCTCAATTGACATCAATCTTCTTTTGTTCTGTCATTAGAGCTGCAAGATTCACCATTCTGTCGTTGGCCTCCGATCTTGCATATCAGAAGGTGCAATCATAGAAGACACTTTATTGATGGGTGCAGATTATTATGAGGTGTGTGACCATATAATAACCTTTTTGATCTTTCTTTGAAGTACTTTTAGATTCCCAGAAGTGTTTGAGTTTGGAAAATTTGCTTTTAATTTACTATTAAAAAACACTTTTTACCCTTGATTGGACCATGTTTGTTTTGCACTTAGTTTGTTGGCAGTAAGAACTGAGAAGTTGTGAGGTTTTACTGATTTGTTTTACTGTGGTGTTCCTCCATAGACGGATGCCGACCGTAGATTATTGGCGGCAAAGGGAAGTGTACCAATAGGCATTGGCAGAAACTCTCACATCAAGAGAGCTATCATTGACAAAAATGCTCGCATTGGGGAAAATGTCAAGGTTTGGCACGTCAACTTGCTTTGTTTTTATTCATTTATTTTGTGATGCTCATCTTCAAGTTCTTATTATATCATATCATTCATTCTCGGGGTGGGGTCTCATCGGGATGTTGATTTCCACTATCCTTTTGACTATCAATCAAACCCTCTGATTTCATTGGGAAAGAACATAAAGAACACAGACAAGTAGACAAGAAATTGAGTTCATCAATGCTTCCTTTTTTTCCTAAAGTAGTTTTGATGGTGGGAACAAATCTACTGCACATGGCTGCCATATTCATTTCTTATTTCAAAATTAGGAAGCTATAAAAAACAACATATTTACTGTACTAAACTTTTTTATATTTAATTATGTGTCTAATAGGTTGTTGTTCTATTGAATGCTTGAATCCTACCAAATTTAACAGCTATAATATAAACGCTTGAATCCTACCAGACTTAACAGCTATAATATGTGCTCTCCTATTAAACACACACACACACACGCACACAACAAATCCTTAAATTACAAGGGTCCGTCTTGGAAGGACTTACATTTCTTGATATAAGCCCAAGCTCCCCCTACCAAATAGTTATATACTGTGAACCAAATAGTTATATACTGTGAGCCGTTGTTGTTACCCTCTTGCTTGCATATATAACACCTCTTTCAAAATCTCTCTTTCGAAAATCTCTTTCTGCCCTCGTTTTCTACAACTTTCTTCTTAAACCGAGGCCAGAGGCTAGAGCATACGTCGCTTGGCCGTAGGCGGTGTAAGAACAAATTGGCTTAGCTCACTTGTTGCTAGAAAGTGAGTGCCGCACAATCGCAAGTCCGCTTGCCATCAAAAGTGTGATTGTGAAGTCTTGGAAGTACTTACATTTCTTGATATAAGCTTACACTTACCGCTAGCTGATATTGTTTTCTTTAGGTTTTTCCTTTCGAGTTTTCCTTCCAAGTTTTAAGATGCTTATGTCAGAGAGAGATCTCCACTATATATCATATATTTACAAGGGTGGGAACAGCAGTAGTACGAGTTCGTATGTGAGTAATAATAATAAGCATATGAATGTTGTTGTTGGGTGTGTGATATTGAATGAAGTTTGTGATCTCAGATTGTGAATGGAGACGGTGTGCAAGAAGCAGCAAGGGAGACAGATGGGTACTTCATAAAGAGTGGGATCGTGACAGTAATCAAGGATGCTTTGATTCCCAGCGGCACTGTTATCTAAGGCCACAACAGAACAGAGCAGACATGATTTTCACTCTCTCTCTCTCTCTCTCTCAATTCTGGTTCTTCCCCTGCCCACTCAACATTCCTTTTCGTAGAAAATGCAAAGCTTATAGGAAGAGAATCCCACACTTCACACTCCACACTCCACTAGGCCCTATCATATATAACTTATGGTGCAATCATCCCTCTCTTCTGCACTCAATGTTTTTGTTCCATACTACTTCATGAATAATCAATAATCAAATTCTGTTTCAGTGATTGTTAGTATGAATAAAGAGCTTGCTTCAGTGATTTGATTTCCATCTTCTGTTTTTGAACTTCTTTATACTTTTAGCTGTTCTTTATCACTTCAAAATTAAGAAACTTGGAATGTCATTAAACCCCAGCAAACGAAATTTGTGTGGGGCACCTGAAGTCGTATGTTATACAGTAGTAGTGATCCGAATCAAATTGAAAGGTTCCTGCTACAACAGAACAGTTCAAGTCATATCTCTATCTCTCATAGTCTACAAACTTCAAAAGTGTTCGACAAAACTTCAAAAGTGGACGCCTTTTTATTTGGCCGTTTTTTTGGATGTTAAATACCATTGGATGGATTACTTTTTATTGGCACTGGAAGCACATCACATTATGGCAAGGTAAAGTTTCGCACAGCTTTAATGAATCTTCCACTTATTTGATGGGATGGTTAAGAGATTATCTATGGTTAAACTCTTCACAACTTATCAATGGATATAATCCTTTTGGTATGAATAGTTTATCAGTCTGGGTGTGGCTGTTCTTATTTGGACATCTTGTTTGGGTTACTGGATTTATGTTCTTAATTTCCTAGCGCGGATATGCCAATTGATTGAAACTTTATAGTCTACAAACTTCGTAAGTGTTCGATTAAACTTTAAAGTGTTCAATGATCAATTAGACACACTTTATAATGTTCAAGCTTCCAATAGAGATCTAAGAGCTCAAAAGACTACCTTAGTCTACAAATTTCAAAAGTGTTCGATAAAACTTCAAAGTGTTCAATGATCCATTAGACACACTTTATAACGTTCAATCTTCCAATAGAGAGATCTAAAAGTTCAAAAGATTACCTTAGTCTACAAATTTCAAAAGTGTTCGATAAAACTTCAGAAGTGTTCAATGATCTCCATTAGACACGCTGTCACATATAATGTTCAAGCTTCCAATAGAGAGATCTAAAAGCTCAAAAGACTACCATAGAAAATGAGTGTTTTGATCCTATTATTCTATTTTTTTAATCTTATTTTTAGTCACAATTTCAACCCAAAATTACACCCAATACACTCATCGAAATGTTCTCATAACAAAAAGGGTTTTTTTTATTGTGTATGGAGTTTATGTTCGAATTTTGCCAAAAGAACCAAAGCTATTGTGTATGAAGTTTATGTTTGAATTTTGAGGGTGTATGGACCAAATGAACAAAAGCTCAAATTACACGAACCAAAATGTTCGGAGAATACAAGTACGAAGTTGAACTGAACAAAAATACGATTTAAACCTATCTATCTTTTAACTAAACTTCGAACACGAAAACGAATAGTTAGAGCCCCACCATTTACAAAGAGGACATGATCCGAGAGGAAAATTCGAACATAATTATACATCGATTACCTTGCTATTAATCGTTATGGAAGTTACCTTCTAGTAATCCATTGCAACTACTTGTCCACAATATTTCTCCATTTATCTTTCAGGTCAACTGGAGTACGAGTGTCATCAAATATATGACGACCGAATTCCAAAATTTTCCTCCACGGAAGATTTTTGTTTACTGAAGAAGAGAATCTCTGAACTCCTTCCTGAAAAAAAAAGGTCATTTTTGTTAGCACAATGAGAAGCAAATAATGATTAAAAAACAATGTAGTTTTGGGCCATTTCTTCTCATGATCAACATATGTTCAATGGAAATTTGGAAAAGAGTTCGCACTTATCAGTAAACTACACAAATGCATCGAGTGCGAACGAAAACCGAAGCAGCATGAACTCGAGCATCCTTTAAGTATTACATGCATTATGCAGCACAATCAAGATTTTTCAGTTGAAAAAATGTATGAAGAAATCACAAGAAAACTGTTCTACAGAGTGGATGATTTCAATCAGCTTCGCCAACACTTGGATGAGAAACACAAAAGAATCATGCCAGGTGCGTTCAAATATAAGCATACCCTTTGAAATATTTCATTTGAATTATTTGTTCCCAAACTAAAAATTAATGAATAAATAAGTAAATACAGATTTAGTAGTTTATATGCACACTAATGTCCTGCAAAACTAGAATGTTTTATAGTGATGTCAATATTAAGCAAACGGTGGGAGTTAGACGTTATCACTTGATTCTAGTCTGGAAGATGGGAATCTAATAACAATTCCAGATGCTAAAAGTCAAAACATCTTTATTGATCAATTGATGAACTAGTACCTTCAACATGTCCTCCTCTTCGGTAGACCATCGCATTCTCTTACGCTTCTCACCGTGAAACATCAAGTTTTTGCTGCAAATCAGGAATTGATAGTTAGTTGCAATTGCTTATGAGTATCAGAAACTTCAGAAAGACACCCACCAACGTACTGCAATCCAGTAATATAGAAATCGAATGACAGCCTATGATGAGACTTACAATTGATTAGGCGACGATGGTTTCATCTTTAACTTTCCAGATGTAGAAACTTTCTCGACTTTGGTTGATCGATCTTTCCCAGGCTTTGGTGTTTGTATATGAGGAGATGTTTTCTCCCGTTTTGGAGTTTGCATATGAGGTGACTTTGTCCCATGATCTGGAGTTTGTCGACGCAATGACATTCTAGGAGAATTAAAATCCTTCCGGTCTACTTTCCTATTAGCTTTCATTTTGAAGCGCTTTTTCTTCACGAATGTTTCGTTCTTCAAATCATTATTTCCAGATGCAGGATAGATATTTTCAGGCTGGATTCGTTCTGCACCATCGCCTGTGTCTTGAGATGCTCGTCCTGCCCCAAGATCAACGTCATTTACAGCAATCTCTTCCTCATCATTCTGAATCTCGGGTTGACCTTGATCCTTCACGATCTCTTTGTCCTCAATGTCATCTGTGAACCTTAAGTTTTCTTCTTCCATCGTTTTCCCATCTTCTTTATCTTCTAAACTTTCATCCTGATGAGTTCCATCTTCATTCATAGCATCCTCACATGGCTGAACTTCATGAGTAGAATGTATGCCGTTGCTAACACTAGACACGCTAGGACCCTCATGATTTTTGCTGTTAACCCCCATCACTGTCGATAGTTGAACATCTCCTGCTGTTCTCGCATGGTCCTCCCCTTGATTACTTTGATTTTGCCCAACCTGCATATCCTCCTGATCTCGCGAACTCTCGTGATTAGGCAGATCCACATCTACTCCACAAGTTGATACATCAGTTACTTTCTTCTTACCTGCCTCTCCTAACTGCGGTGAATTGGCACCACTAACCATCCTGTTATCAATGAAATCAGATAACTTCCTCTTTGCCGCCATAGCCTTTCTCCTTAGCTCATTCACAATAACCAAAGCTCTTTTATATGAACAATAAGGACAATAGAATCGCCCCTCTTCATCGAACGAGGGTTTGCAGGACATACAGTACTCATGAAGAGCAATTGGACATCCAATTTCAGTACAGACCAACAAGCCACCACCCTCATCGCATCTAATACAAGTGTCTTTCTGAAAACAATCTTCCTTATCCAGCACATCGTGAGTTTCCTTCCTTGATGCCTCATTCAGAGCGTTATCTTCTGCATTGCACGCATCCTGACCAGATACAAATCCATCATTCAAAGTGTTGTCTTCGGCATTCGGCATATTCTGACCAGATACACATCCATTATTTTTTCAGCGAAGAAACTTTCAGTAAACATTCTCTTCCCTCTCTTCGAATTTGTAAAAAAAAGAAAAAAAAAACAGTTCGAGACTAAAAACTAAGTTTGTCAACGATTTCTCGGCGAAATCCGAGAAAGTAAAAACGGTATCCTCGTGGATTAGAGAACAGTTACAGTCGCGAAAAGCAACAGAACAGTGAGACGACTTGTTTTGCGAGAAGAAAAAAACAAAATGGCTCCATTGCTACAAAGAAAGAGAAATGAATACGCACCCGGTCAGGGACGGAGGGAGACGCCATAAACGACGGATAAGAATCGGAGGAACGCCGGGAAGGCCTGGACCTTCCGCCACGGCGACTCTTGGTCCTCATCTTCTTCCGGTGCAAGTCCGAACCCTAATCTTTCAGAATCTTCAGAGCTCAATCAACACAAAACTTCTTTCTCAATTCGATATGATGAACGATTCCATTTCCCCTCGGAAAATTATTCTACATAGTAACAGTCGGTGATAATCTCGATTCAAAAACAATTTTGATTCTTGGTCCAATTTGTAAATAAACAAATCTTGTTGTAAAGAACTTCGTTTTTATTCCAATCTTTTAACCTTTTTTTTCAATTAAAAGTTCTAAAAACTCTAAAAACTATTTTAAAATTTTAAAATTAAATTTTGTTTTAGTACCGTATATAAATTAAAATCACTACTCTCCACGCAGCAGTATGGTATTGTCCATTTTGAACCTAAATTCTTAGGCGGCTTCTCCAAAAGACCTTATACCTGTAAATGGTGGTTATACCAATGCGATTGTATTGCGTAGCGACCCAGATCCTCTCCTCCCCAACCAATGTGGGAGGTCACAATCCACCCTCTTTCGGGGCCCAGCGAGGACTCCTCCCCAACCAATGTGAGAGGTCACAATCCACCCCCTTCGGGGCCCAGCGTCCTCGCTAGCACTCGTTCCTTTATATCAATTGACGTGAGACCACCCCCAAATCCACCCCCTTTGGGGTCAGCGTCCTTATTGGCACACCGCCTCGTGTCTACCCCCTTCGGGGAACAGCGAGAAGGCTGGCACATCGTCCGATGACTAGCTATGATACCATTTGTAACGACCCAGATCCACAGCTAGTAGATATTGTCTGTTTGGGCTTTCCCTTTCGTGCTTCCCTCAAGGGAGGGAAGGTTTCCACACCATTGGGTGATTTGTTCTCCTTCCCAACCAATAGGACATTACATATTCCTTACTTATAAATCCATGATCATTCTCTAAATTAGCGTGGGACTCCCTCCCAACAATCCTCAACAAAATAGGTATCTTCAAACCCGAAAAAAATACAGACTAATAATCACTGAATGACTCTCGGTTTGAAGACGGTAAACTTTATAAATTTAATATATGGACGCTACAAAAATACTCTTATTATTTAAAAAATTGCAATATTATTCTTGACATTTCATAAACATTTCAAAATCACCATCGAAGTAAATATTCATTAGATAAAATATTGACGTGTTTGTGATCGACGTTGGTTGGACGTTAATTTCTCGTCAAACATTTGAAAGTAAATTATGATGTAATAATAGTTTTGAAACGTTTATAACAAATTAAATATAATAATATGAATATTATTTTAAAGTAAAAACCAATCGAATATGTTTTTTAATTAAAGATGTCCACCGAGCGAGGTGGTAATGGGATTCCCGTCCCCATCTCCGCCATCCATTTCATTATTTGTCCCGGTGAAATTCTCCATTTATCTTTGCGGGAATTTGAAACCCGCGATACCATTTATTATTACATCATAATGTTTAATAATTAAAAAAAAAATCTAATTTATATTAAGAGTAAAATGGAAATATCTGATAATAAATAAATAAATAAAATTAAATTGGCACGACCCCACGAATTACCAAATTTACCCTTCTCCAACGGCGGTGCCGCGGTGGCCGCAGCTCACAAAATACAAAAACGAAAAAGACAAAAACAAGAAATTAGGGTTTATAACACAAGAGAAACGAATTAACAAAAAACAATTAAAAGTTTCATTAGAGATTCAGGTCGGACGTAGCTTGATCTCTCGCTCTCGTTCTCCCCGCGCCAGGATCAGGTCTGAATTTCTCAATCTCGACTTCTAATTTGTTGTCAATTTGTTTGTGTATATTTCATTGTCTTTTGTGAGGCAGAGGTTAATATTTCATTTTCGTGTTGGGGTTTTGATCATCGAATATGGATACTGCGTTTGATCGGTTTGTATTACATTGTGGAATGTGGTTCGGAAATGGATTTGATTTTCGTTGGTTTTTGTTTTTTTGATTTCCATGCAGTTATTCTCATGGCTTCCAGTAGTAACAAGGAATCTCTGTCTGGTAAGCAGCTAAATTATGGTGCCGCGGTGTGTGATAGCTATAGATTGTGTGTTTGTTTATTTGTAGTAGTGTGCAATTTAAGCATTTGGATATGAAATTAGGTCGTGTCTACAGTACAATTCATGTGTGATAGCTCTATTACTACTGCTTTGGAAAGCTTGTTAGGTTCATTTTGGTTCATATATTACGCTTGTCTTTACATTTTTGCAGTACTGTGTGGATATGGGGTTTGTATAACGGAGAAGATGAGCAAAATTGTAGAAATGAGCTTACTTTTACGCTTATGAATGATTTACAGTTTTATGATGCATTACTTTCTCTCATGTAACTTCGTTTTTCTTCCTAACATTTTATTTTCAAATGGATTAAACAGGTTCTTCAGACAACAAAAACGCTAAATCTGAAACATCCTCCTCGGACAATCCTCCACAGGCAGCACCCCAAAGAACTAGCTCAATATTTGATGACCTGCCTCAGGGCAGCCCTTTTGATTTTTCATCCATGACTGACATTCTTAATGTAGACGATTTTTCTTGAACTCTTCTTTATTTTTATTTTTTTCCCCTTTTTAATATTGTTACTTTGCTCTGAAATTTCTTGTTTGGGCCAAATCTTCAGCTTGAACTTCCATTTTATTATTAAACCTTGTTGATTGTACAATGAATTCTAATTTATTATACACTCAGGATCCTAGCATCAAATCATTAGCTGAACAGATAGCAAAAGATCCTTCATTCAACCAGATGGCTGAGCAGCTTCAACAATTTCAGAGTCCACCAGCTCAAGAAGGAATCCAGTTTGATCCTCAACAATACTTTGCCACCATGCAACAAGTCATGCAGAATCCTAATTTTATGTCTATGGCAGAGCGTCTTGGTACCACATTAATGCAGGTATTTAATCTCTTTTTAGTTCATTGAAACTGTTGCTTGTTGATTGATCGACTATTTATATAGAATATTCTGTTGTACTGGAGATAAAATTCCATCTTAATTTGTTCACAGGATCCATCTATGTCTCGCATGTTTGAGAGTTTTTCTAATCCAGCAGACGGTGATCAGCTTGAGGAACGAATGGCACATATTAAAGAGGATCCTTCATTGAAGCCTATATTGGAAGAGATAGAGACTGGCGGTCTCCCTTCCATGATGAAGTTGGGAACATTTTACTATAAACTCTGAACCATTGAGTTTAACTCATCTTATTTAGTTTTCCAAATTATGTTCGTGCTGAAATAAAAAAATTCCTTGCCCTTAGGTACTGGAATGATAAAGAAGTCTTACAAAAGTTGGGGAAAGCAATGGGGCTTCCTGTCCCAGCTGAAGCAGCTACCTCTACTGACCATTCTGGGCTAGATGATTCTGAAGAACCGGAGAATGAGGATGAGTCAGTTATTCATCATACTGCAAGTACTGGTGATGTTGAGGTACATAGCAACAATTTGTTTTGTTTCTTTCACATGCTGCATGGTTGTTATATCTCATGCTAGTGGTTATGATGTATATTTTATAATTCTTACGGAGGTGATAAAACATTGATGTGATGGTCGGTATACTCAAATCCCGTATTTTTGGTGGATAACATAGGGAACATTTCAAGATTGGTAGAAGTGCAGTTGTTCCGATTTGTTTATTGTCATATTTATATTTTCAGTTGTATTGGTTTGTATGCTGGACCTGGACCAGTAAATTTGTGGTTGTCCTAGTTTTCTTATTTTTTTGAGATAAGATGTCATTGTAACCCGGAGCTTTTCATTATTTTTATGCACCCATAAGAATCAACTTGTTCTACCCATAAGAAAAAAAAATAACATTTTTCTTGCATTTAAAGAAATGTGTCTTTTTGTGTAGAATAAGATCTTTGTGCACAAAGGACACATTTTACTCTTTCCTTTGATTGGCATTTTGGATTTCTTCTCTGGTCAACTAGTTAAAAAAGCCCTTTTTACATTAATATATCTTATATATGCGCTTCCATCGGTAGTAGCATAATTTATGCTTTGCATCTTTCATTTATTGTGATGTCTATTGTCACTTCTTGTTATCATGTACATTTTTGTTTCTATCAAATTGAGTTGTGTAACTTGGGCTTCTGCTTATTGCCCTTGTGATGTGGAGCTTGCATACGAAAGCATTGTTCTCTGGAAAAAAAATGTGTTGGAGAAATCATTGCTAATCTGCTTCTTTTGATTGAAAAAGCTTACCACCTCGCACACTCTTTTATTCTCATTTAAAGAAACTTGCTAGTCTGAGGAACCGAATTTTTGTCCTCGTTTATTAGGGGTTAAAGAAGGCGCTTGCATCTGGTGCTGACAAGGATGAAGTAGATTCAGAAGGGAGGACGGCATTGCATTTTGCTAGTGGATATGGCGAGGTATGAATAATGTACCTCAGCTTTAACCTGCCTTTATATACTTCATTTTTGTTACGACCTGCCTTTATATACTCATTTTTGTTACGAATCCATTTTTGCGTTCACTTGTTGATCTATATGTAAAACATGAGGCATTTCTTCCATGTTAATATAAAGAGGAATCCTGCGGAAGGGATCGATTCTCTCTGGTAAAGCTGCAAAGTAATTTACTTCCCTTCGTAAGGATGCATACAAAGAATTGTTAACATCAAAGCTTTGGAGTTTGGACTACTTTTCTTGTTCATTCCTTATAACTTAAAATGAAAATGCATGCGGTTCTATTATAGAGTACTCTAAGGGTGCTAATTAACACCATTGATTTAAGGTGTAACTAGTTAGGTATTTAAAACGTGTAAAATATAATATACTTTATTTGTGCCTGTTCTTCATTCCATTGTAAGTAAAATAAGGTTAAAGAAGGCTGTCTTAAGACCGAATTTCTGTAATCCTCATGTTGTGGGCAGCTGCAGTTTCTATATTGCAATCAGTAGAAATTATTATATCGATAGTGAGGGTTGTCTCTTCCGATGTCCCGACACTGGACAATACCCAAAATCATTCCCCCTCCATGGTCCCTAATTCCCTTCATTTATAACTATGCCTCCCCTAGCTGATCACCACTATGCTCTTCTGAATAACACACATATAGTCCTCTCATATGCTCATCTTTATAGTGAAAGTAGTATGCAAGTTTTTTTTAAAAGATTGTCTAGTTCTTCAACTAAGATCATCCCTAAAATTGGCCCTCAGGTTGAATGTTCTCAAATCCTCCTTGAGGCTGGAGCAAAAGTGGATGCTTTAGACAAGAACAAAAACACCGCCCTTCACTATGCAGCTGGGTACGGGCGAAAGGACTGCGTCGCGCTACTCCTGGAAAACGGCGCTGCTGTGTAAGCCTGCCAAACTCCTCGTTTGTTCGTTCGTTCAGTAATGTTCCATTTTCCAGTTTTCTTAATGCACTTATCTGTTCCCCTACCCCATTGCCTGTTTGTAGTACTCTCACAAACATGGATGGAAAGACTCCAATCGATGTAGCCAAGCTAAACAACCAGAATGAGGTGCTGAAGTTGCTTGAAAAGGATGCCTTCCTGTAACTTTACAATCAATCATTCGGTGACATTTATGGTATTTTCTGCATCTACATCTGCTCGGTACATGGCGTTCCCTGATGTGTTAGAACGAATTTAATTTCATAAAGTGCAAACTATATCGTTACGACTCGTGGTGTTTTATTTTGCTGTCCATTGCTTTGTCACAATAATTTTGTAGTTTCAACTGATTACAGTCAGGTTCAGTACCCTATTTGTACATTTGGTTTCTTCTTTTACTACATGATTTGTTTGTGTTATACTTAATGATTTTGCTGAGAATTTCACCTTTTCCTTTGTAAAGTCACTTAGAGACTCAATTTACAATCAAATAATCTCCTCTTTAATGTTATATTTGCACAGGCGTATTCAAAGAAATTCGATGACCCGAAAAATTCGACCCAAACTAGTTATCAATTTCTTTAGATTAGGTTTGAGTTAAATTAAATAATAATTTGATGGATTGTGTTAGGTTTATGTGTTCGATTTTTTTTTTTTTGCTTATATATACATATATTTATTTAATTATATTCAACTTTATAATTATTTTTCTTATCATTCCTTCTCTAAACTATTCTTACAAGTAAAATTTTGAAGTTTTGGTAATATAATTTTTTTTATAAAATAATATATTGAAAATGAGTTAATAAATTTTAATTAAATATTTAAAAATAAATAAATAGATTCTCTAACCATTTTCTTTTATTAAATTTTTTTTAATCTAATCATAGGTATATCTTTTTACTTTTTCTTGTTTTCATGATTTGGTAAAATCTAATATTTGTGATGAAAGATTGAGCTTAACGAAATTTGGGAAATTTCTTACCATACAATTTTTAAATTTATAAATTTCGAATGAAAGTCAGAGATGTTTGTTGAAAGTCTAATTTAGGGAATAATTTAAGGAATGATCATGGGTGAAAATCTAATTTAGGGAATAATTTAGGGAATGATCATGGGTTTATAATCAAAGAATATCTCCTTTTGAAGAAGCAGTGTTTTTGAAGAAGCAGTGTGAGGTGTGAGGCCTTTTGAGGAAGCAGATCATTAGGGAATGATCATGGGCTTATAATCATTAGGGAATGATAATGAGTTTATAATCAAAGAATACTATCTCCATTGGTACGAGACCTTTTGAGGAAGCCGATCATTAGGGAATGATTATGGGTTTATAATCAAAGAATACTATCTCCATTGGTATGAGGCATTTTGAGGAAACCGAAAGCAAAACCATGAGAGCTTATGCACAAAGTGGACAATATCATACCATTGTAGAGAGTCGTATTCATTTAACAATTGTTTCCAAACATGTATATATTTATATGAAACCGAGAGAGAAGGAAAGAATGGAAGGTCAAACAAAAAACAAGCCCCTAAAAGAAGGGAGTCTGACCCTTCATCATCCCCTACCTACAAAAAAACACAAGCCCCAAAAACTCTTCCAAGTATTTCTACTTGGTGGCCTGTGCAATTATGTTACTTATTGAACTAGCTTGCTCCTTTGCAGTCTCCACCAACGAATCCTACAAACCAAAATCAACTCAACATACACCCAAACTGAGATCATAAGGTGCTGCAAACATAAAAGGAGATAGTTACCTGTGCAGCTATCAATCTTGCTACTGTTTTCTTGCTAGATTCTTGGAGTTCTCCAGCAATTAGAAGCTCATCCAATATATAATACGCCTTCAATGTTAGAAAAAGAAAAAAAGTACACAACGCATTCAAAGTTTCATATCAAGGACGTGAACGTGAACGTTCACTTAACACAATGTTACTGGCAAGCAAGCAAGAGGACAAGTAATTCAGATGCATCGGGCTTACACGGCAGGTGAAAGAAAAGTACACAACGCATTCAAGGTTTCATCTCAAGGGCGTGAACGTGAACGATCACTTAAGACAATGTTACTGGCGAGCAAGCAAGATGACACGTAATTCAGATGCATCGGGCTTACTTACACAAATGTCTAGCAGAGGCAACAAGATGCACATTAAAGACAACGTACACCTTTAATATAAGCAAGTGAATATACCAAGTACACAGTGCATTCAAGGTTTCATATCAAGGACGTGAACATGAACGTTCACTTAAGACAATGTTACTGGCGAGCAAGCAAGAGGACGAGTAATTCAGATGCGTCGGGCTTACTTACACAAATGTCTAGCAGAGGCAACGAGATGCAAATTAAAGAAAACGTGCACCTTTAATAAGCAAGTGAATAATACCTTGTGAAAGTTGAAGATCAAATCCAACTCACAGACCTACAAACATGAATAAAAGATCACAAAGAATGGTCTCAAACACCTTACGAACTAAAATTAAATTCACTTACACTGCCGAAGTAACGATCCAAAATCTCAACATAATGATGAATAATTTCAAGGATCTCTAATTCGTTGTCCTCCTGATCAATGCATAGGCAAAAGTAAAGACTGGCATATCTGCATTGCACATCCAATAGAATCATTAATCATCTGCAAAAGAGGTAAATATTTGGGTGGCAGAACACATTAATATACCGCGTCGTACCGTTTATAGACAGCTTTGAGTCCCCTCCATTCCACAAAGTTGCAAAGTTTAGGCGCCCGATTTAGAATCATTCCACTAAGCTCACGCATAACCTTTTTAAAGAACGAGAGCAGACCCGAGCACGTGCCATAATATGGTAAGTCCAATAGATCCTAGGGGTACTAAGACTTATTGAAGCAAATAAGCATTCAAATGTCTTTGGATTGGAAATTAAGAAAAGCTATTAGAATTACATTACAGAATGAGGCAAATGGCTAACCCACCTTAGATCTCTCCTTCTGAGAATAAGGAGAATACCATTTGGTCAACCTCACTTTTCCTTGTCTACTTATAAGAAGCACGAAGTGAATCTGGAAATTTACACCAACAACATCAGTTAGAGCACCATGCAAGACATACGCTAGGCCAAATTTTCTTTACTGGAGCAACAAAAGGTTGAAGATAACCTAAGTTGCACTGAAGAAAGTTTATTTTTCTATGAGAAACCACGCATTATTGAGAAAATTTGAATGATGAGGAGATATAGAAGAGGGCTCCAATCCACAATAATAAGATCTTACAGGTAATTTACAAAAGTCGTTGAGAATTTAATCGTTCAGGAACCCATGGCTTAAGCACATTCACAAGAGCTTCAGAACAAAAGAAGTGAAACAAGAATCGCCACAACAATTCAGCAGGAACGAACACGACGAATCAAACAACAAAAAGAAACAAAAGTTGAGCATTTCGGATGTCAGCTAAGCAAATATATGAATCTTTACAACACGGAGATCACTCCAAATAATTTCAAACGACACAAAAATTCAGCAGTAAAAGAGAAACCAATTAAACCATCGCATCAAGAAAGAGCAAAGCAGATGCGCGAACCGGTGGACTAACAACAAGAACGTAGCAATTTCAACATTGAAACAATCAAAGCCTAGAAATGAATCAAAGCAATGAAATCAATTACCATTTTGCTCTGAACTTTCAGGTATCAAAAGTTTCAATTCCAGAATCCTCAACCAAATACTTGATCCCTCCGATCAAGGACAGTTCCTTGTCCGTTGTTCCGCTGCAAAAATATTTTTCATTCAGAATTCCTACCCGCCGAAGGCTTCGGGGTGCAAAATGGGCGGAGTTCATTTTAGGCCCATTTAGTGATATTTGGGCCGTTGGGCTTTGTACAAGCGAAGTACAAGCTTTGCGGCTTCGGGGTGAAAATGGGTCGAGTTCATTTAGGCCCATTTTAGTGATATTGGGCCATTGGGCTTTTGTACAAGCGAATTACAAGCTTTGCGGCTTCGGGGTGAAAATGGGTCGAGTTCATTTAGGCCCATTTTAGTGATATTGGGCCATTGGGCTTTTGTACAAGCGAATTACAAGCTTTGCGGCTTCGGGGTGAAAATGGGTCGAGTTCATTTAGGCCCATTTTAGTGATATTGGGCCATTGGGCTTTTGTACAAGCGAATTACAAGCTTTGCGGCTTCGGGGTGAAAATGGGTCGAGTTCATTTAGGCCCATTTTAGTGATATTGGGCCATTGGGCTTTTGTACAAGCGAATTACAAGCTTTGCGGCTTCGGGGTGAAAATGGGTCGAGTTCATTTAGGCCCATTTTAGTGATATTGGGCCATTGGGCTTTTGTACAAGCGAATTACAAGCTTTGCGGCTTCGGGGTGAAAATGGGTCGAGTTCATTTAGGCCCATTTTAGTGATATTGGGCCATTGGGCTTTTGTACAAGCGAATTACAAGCTTTGCGGCTTCGGGGTGAAAATGGGTCGAGTTCATTTAGGCCCATTTTAGTGATATTGGGCCATTGGGCTTTTGTACAAGCGAATTACAAGCTTTGCGGCTTCGGGGTGAAAATGGGTCGAGTTCATTTAGGCCCATTTTAGTGATATTGGGCCATTGGGCTTTTGTACAAGCGAATTACAAGCTTTGCGGTTTCGGGGTGCAAAATGGGCCGAGTTCATTTAGGCCCATTTAGTGATATTGGGTCGTTGGGCTTTTGTACAAGCGAATTACAAACCCAATCTCAAAGCGGAAAATCGTTGACATTTAAAAAAAAAAGTTCTAGTCGTTGACATTTTATTGTTTTTTAAAGCGTTGACCTTGCTCCCAAACGTGAGCGCGTGGGATTAAATTATAAAGAAAAAAAAAAAAAAACAAAGTATAAAAAATGAGCAATTAAAACTACATTTTAACTATAAAAAAAAGCCAAATATTAAAAAAAAATAATAATAAAAGCAAATATTCCAAAAACAACTGGGTTTTAAAAAATTACAAAAACAAATCATCGTAATCATAAATATTACAATAAAATTGCTCGATGTTGCAATTTAATAACAATTTTAATGAAAATTCAATTTATCACAAAAGAAACATTTAAGAACGCTGTGGTGCCTGTAAATCAAGATAATAAATCATCAAATGATATGTCAAATACTACGCAAAAAGAGTATATTCTGTCGTCGTTTGATGAGTACGACGACAATGCAAGCTAAAACTACTCAGTAGTTCATAATTGAAGTTCGAATTAAATTTTACTACTACTATCTATAAACCATGGACATTGGAATTCAAGTTCCAAAAGGATTTACAGTGTAGAAGAGAGGAAGGATCTGCACAAAGGGCAGGTAAAATGATATCTATGGAGCCAATTCTCAATACATTCATAATGAAAAATATGGCTACATCTATGCAGTTGGCTCACCAAATCTTCTCCGGTGAACCCCGCCAAGCAAACGGAGCAAATATCCTCTTCCGATCCGCTGCCACGATGCAGCTCTTCGAACCTACAAACTGGAAGTTTTACCTCGCACGGTAGCAACTCCATTGTGAGCTGCTGATACGTCCTGCCCGACAGAATCCCGATCATGCTCTCGAGGAACGTCTTCAGTTGACACAGGGGGATCCACACACAAGTGAAGAGGACAATGGTGGCCACACAGGTTGGACCTCGACCTAATGCCAAGCTTATCATTATGCCAAGAACTCAGCACCACAGCTTCTTCTTCTTTTCTTCTCTCTCTGTTGAAGGTTTTTCTAAGCAGGGAAAGAATCAGAGGCATATATATAGTTGAAACTTGGCTTCCCAAAATCAGGTGGGTTGACTTCAGGCCTTGATTTTTGGAGGAATATCACCAATCAAGGATATTCGACTCATAATATATTGGACATTATAAAATTTGGGTTTGGGAAGCTTAACTTTATAGTAAAGATGAGCATATCTATACAATACTAACCAATATTGTTAATGCTGATTGCAATCCTTTTGATTTATGCCATTTAAATCCTACCCAACAACCAAACTTTGCTAAAAAATCCACCTGATTGTGCAAGGAAATGAGTTCTTATTTGTAAAGTCAGTATGCAATGATAAAAACAGTTCAATTGATGTAAAAGCATAGTTCAATTGATTGGAGAGGGGAACGAAACACTATTTATAAGGGTATGAAAATCTCTCCCTAGTAGACGCGTTTTAAAGCCTTGAGGGGAAGTCCGGAAGGGAAAGCCCAAATGGTATCATAGCTAGACACTAGGCGATGTGTTAATGAGGAGGCTGAACCCTGAAGGGGGTGGATACCAAGCGGTGTGCCAGCCCCGAAGGGTTGTGGATTGTGAGATCCCACATTGGTTGGAAAGGGGAAGAAAACACTCTTTATAAGGGTGTGGAAACCTCTCCTTAGTAGACGCGTTTTAAAGCTTTGAGGGGAAGTCCAAAGAGGACAATATTTGCTAGCGGTGGGCTTGGACGGTTACAGTTCGAATCTTTGCTCACGCATCATAGAGTGTTGAACTAAAAAATATATATATATATATATCATAGAAGAGACCTCGAAATTCGTGAGGCGAGTATCTCCTAAATTTCATTGAGTTCTATGTTAATACTTTAGTGTGTTAGAAGTTAGAACCATGATTCCGGCTGGAAAGGAGGGCCGGTGCCGACCCCACATAGGACTCAATACTTCATAAGTTAGTCAATGCCTCAAAGTATCTAAACAATCACGTGATACCAACATATTCCATTCACATCTTAACATCCCCTTTTCATTATTTGCTTATAATAACAAAACGAAAACAAGAGCATCCACCTCCCTCCCGGGTTTTTGACTAAAGTTTGCACTTCAAGATAGAATAATACCGACCAAATCTCCCATGCTTTTCTAAAGAGAATACGTATATAAATGATGAGCTGTGCTAAGGTTTAAAAATAAAGGGTTACCTTGTAACATGGGCTTTCTTTCTCACCTAAATTGAAGAATATAACAGGGCTGTGAGATCCCACATTAGTTGTCGGTTGGAGAGGGGAACGAAGCATTATTTATAAGGGTGTAGAAACCTCTCCCTCAACGAGGACACTGGCCCCAAAGGGGAGTGGGTTGTGAGATCTCACATTGATTGGAGAGAGGAACGAGTACTAGCGAACACGCTGGGCCACGAAGGGGGTGAGGATTGTGAGATCCCACATTGGTTGGAGAGGGGAACAAACCATCATTTATAAGAGTGTGGAAACCTCTCCCTAGTAGACACGTTTTAAAAGCCTTGAGGAGAGGCCTGAAACGGAAAGGCCAAATAGGATAATATCTACTAGTGGTGGGCTTGGACCGTTACAACAACCATGAATAGAACTCACCACAGAGAATGATCTGTAACGACCCAAATCCACCGCTAGCAGATATTGTCCTCTTTGGGCTTTCCCTTTCGGGCTTCCCCTCAAGGCTTTAAAACGCGTCTGCTAGGGGAAGGTTTCCACACCCTTGTAAATGGTGGTTTGTTCTCCTCCCCAACCAATGTAGGACATCGCAATCCACCCCCCTTCCAGGCCCAGCATCCTCGCTGGCACTCATTCCTTTCTCCCATCGATGTGGGACCACCACCAAATCCGCCCCCTTTGGGGCCCCGCGTCCTTACTGGCACACCGCCTCGTGTCTACCCCCTTCGGGGAACAGCAAGAAGGCTGACACATCGTCCGGTGACTGGCTCTGATACCATTTGTAATGACCCAGATCCACCGCTAGCAGATATTGTCCTCTTTGGGCTTTCCTTTTCGGGCAGGCTTTAAAACGCGTCTGCCAGGGGAAAGGTTTCCACACCCTTATAAATGGTGGTTTGTTCTCCTCCCCAATCAATATGGGACAACACATGATCAATTAAATGAGAGGACACCTCATGATTGTAGTCACATTAGGGAAGCTAAGTCTGATAACAGATCCATCTTTGTCTGGTCATTAATGGAAGGAAGCAAGGAAACATTCATAGCTTACACAATTGTTTAAAACCTCACTTCTATAGCTCACTCTTCAACTTCAACCAGATTCTTACATGCTATGCAAATTACTCCATATAATAAGGTAAAAGTATCTTAAATTGGCGAAAGGATTGCATAAAAGGGAAAGGAAAGAAGACATACAGCTTTTTATGTCCACGACAACGATCTCAGAAGAATTCCTTCGTTTGCTTCCCAAAGATCACTTCCCAGATACTTGGAGAAAATGGAGCTCGTTTATTCAAATAATTCCCTAAAGCCTTCTCATTAATCAAGAACCCCTTTTGTTTAAAGGTTTCTATAACACTCTGAGCTTCTTCCATTCCTCTTTCTTTGCACAACTCATGAATTAAGCCAACAAAAGTGGCTAGATTCTAACATCTCAATGCAAAATGCTACAGCATCCTCTAATTTCTTGCATTTGCACAGCCCCTGTATCAAGCATTAGGAGAAATGCCATTATTCTGCATTTTCCTGAAGATCCTAATAGCTTCTTCAAGCTTCTCGGCCTTGCAAAACCCATCAACAACAGCGGTGTAACCACAACTTCTGGAATTGTACCCTTCTCACGAATCAAACCAAAGAGTTTCATAGCCCATCAAGCATGGCGACAGCGTTAGGAATTAGACCTGCCTCCTTCATTTTCTTGAATATCTCGTCGGCTTCTAGAGGACGCGGCGGTTGCGGCTCCTTCTCCTGCATTGATTCAGAAACCCGAGCAGACGATCTCTGCTCGGTCTTCTCTTTACTACTTCTCTGATTATCAGCATTCAGCTTGAATTTTTCAAGAAATCTAAAATCCTTCTGAGACAAAGACTCACTCCTTTGCCGAGAAACCGACCCTTCAGAATGTTTATTAACGCGTTGGTTCCAATTATCCTCAGGGTAAAAAGCAGATACTTCCCCGGTGAATTTCGGAACTCGACGAGCTTCTCGGGGATCCGGAGGAGAACGCCGGTGCGGTAAGCTGCTCCTCGGCTCTGACTTTGAGAAGGCGCAATCGTCATCCATGGAATTAGAGCTGAAACAGCGAGATTGCACCGGCGAGGGAGAGAAATCCGGCGTTCGTAATGGATTGTGGAGCAGAGGAGATTCTCTTTCCCAATTCCAAATTGTTGAAAACAAAATCTTTGAAACTCGAAAGCGATATTGAAATTGCAACTGCAACGCTCCCATGAGAAATCTCGAACTGGGAAATTGATGGAGATATCAGTCGGAAAATGATCAGATAACAACGGAGGGTTTTACCGAAGGGTTTATTATTCGATTTATTTATTTATTATTAAAATTTATATTAAAAAATGAAAATTATTCTATAAAAATAATTTGAATTAAATAATTTTTCTAATATATATATATATATATATAAATTCTCTATATAAATTGTATTTCAGGTCAATGAAAATTTTGGAGGGATGAAGAACGGAAGACAGGCGAGCTAACGCTGCTGTGTTCTTTCACGATCCAGAAATCTTGTTTCTGTTATTGCAATTTCCAAGTTTGATCGAGCGCTGAAGTTCATACAAACTATTAGCTTATCCATCTGATCAAAGAAGGTGAATACCATTTTTCCTGTGCTTATTATCGTTATTTTGCTTCGCATTTCTCTCTCTAGGGCTTAGATTTTAGAATGCGGAGTTTAGTTTCAAATTCGTCTCACAACTTTGCATTAATCTTTTCTACGGACAGGTCGTGGAATTATGAAAAATCTGTTCGTATGCTGAATGTTAAGGGTTTATGGAAATTTGCGCCAGTCGTGATGGTACTAGTATGCTGTGTTCTTCAGGGACGAAGGTTTTGATGGTAGAAACATTGATAAGACGTTTGAGAAGTGTAGGCGTTTGGAAGCTATGCAGGATGAAAGAGCTTCTGAAAACTGGGAATATTTGGAGAGAATTGGCATTCAAAAGAGGAAGCTTTGTGAGATTAAGCTCTCACAGCATTGGTTGGAGAAGGGAACGAAACATTTCTTATAAAGGTGTGGAAACTTCTCCTTAGTAGAAGCGTTTTAAAGCCTTCCTTATAAGGGTGTGGAAACCTCTCTGTTTTAAAATTGTGAGGCTGATGGTGATACGCAACGGGCCAAAGCGGACAATATCTACTAGTAGTGAGTTTGGGCTATTAGAAGTAGTATCAAAGCCAGACACCAAATGGTGTGCCAGCGAGGACGCTGGGCCTCCAAACAGGTGGATTATAAGATCCCACATTGGTTGGAGAAGAGAACAAAACATTTCTTACATGGGTGTGGAAACCTCTCTCTAGCAGATGCGTTTTAAAGCCGTGAGGCTGACAATGATACGTGATATGTCAAAACGGATAATATCTGCTAGTGTTTCATAAAAGTTTAAGAGTTTTATAACACCTGGATCGCAATGACATTCTTCCTTAATGCTGCATATGCAACGGTGTGTCCTTTGTTGTCGGCAAGAGAAGGATCTCCATCATCTTTTGTGTGGTTGCCAGTTTGCTTACTCCCCATGGAGTTGTTTTCTAGTGTGTTAGAGGTTGCAATGGTGTGTAATGGGGATTTGTTGCTCTTTGTTGGAGGAGATTATGATGAACTCTTCATTTCATGATAGAAGATTGAATGTTACTAAAATAGCTGTGTAATTGCTGGGAGTAGATAGAAGACGATAAGACTTAAAATGCTGGACTTGAATTGTTCTATAATCTGCAATTTAGGAAGCTGTTAAATGATCTTTGATTCATTAGAAAACATGTCAAAGGCTGTATCTGTAAAGCAAGAAAGATTGTACATTCAGTTGGCTATCTGGAAGCAGGGAGAGTAGGATGATTAGGATGTCGGAATCAACTTGATCGACCGTCTCGAGAATGTAGCTTGCTGAGTTGAACCCAGGTATACATATCCACATACAAGTGCTAGTGTATCATCAGAATCAACTTGATGGACCTCTCGGGACGTTGGGAGTTCGAACCCAGGTATACATATCCACATACAAGTGCTAGTGTATCATCAAAATCAACTTGATGGACCTCTCGGGACGTTGGGAGTTCGAACCCAGGTATACATATTCACATTACACACCACATATCTTAGTGAAAATAATAAAAACAATAAACAAATGATGTTGTCTACTCCAATTGGATGATGTAAGTTGCAGGGACTGAAGCACAGGACCAGCTATGGTGAAACTTCATCAAAGAGAGTTATTTGTGTTTGACAGTGAACTGAGATTGTTACTGGTGGCGGAGGTAGTGTTCATGGGAGGCCACATGAAGACTGGCTTGAATGGAGGTACACGAGGTGCAGGCAAAGCTCCATTTAAAATTTGGAGTATATCCTGAGTTTGTGGCCGTTCACTTGCCATGGGATGTGAACATGCCAACCCAAGTAGTAGAAGCCTCCTAGCTTCATCGACCACAATATCATCACCGAGCTGGTTATCGACTGCTTTTTCGATATGTCCTTCGCGATGTACCTTCCACACCCAATCAACTAAGGTATATTGATGTTGCTCGTCTTCCACAGGAGCTCCTGGTCTCCTGCCACAAACAATCTCAAGCACCACTGCCCCAAAACCATATACGTCGGATTCTGGAGTTGCCCTTCCTTCGTGGAAGCATTCAGGAGCAACATAACCCATTGTGCCTGCAACTCCTCCATGTTGGAGGTCTGCATAAGAGTTTCTTTCAGGGTCCAACGCTCTCGCAAGGCCGAAATCTCCTAGACGAGCATGGAAGTCGGAATCAAGTAAGATATTGCTTGATTTGATATCTCGGTGCAATACCTTCTGGTCGTACTCATTATGCAGGTAATGCAACGCTGATGCAACTCCTACAAGGATTTTATAGCGATGTCTCCAGTTGAGAACATTCTGGTCAGCAATGTCATACAGGTGATTCTCAAGGCTTCCATTAGGCATGAAATCATATACTAATAAAAGCTTCCCTTTCTCGTAGCACCACCCTGAACAAGTATTCAATGCATATTTTAGTACATTGGTTTGAAATTACACTAAACTACACAAATATATGCTCTATCACTCTCTTTGAGTTGAGTTAGAATTTGTGAGATCCACATTGGTTGGGGAGGAGAACGGAACACCCTTTATAAAGGTGTGGAAACCTTTCTCTAGCAGACACGTTTTAAAAACCTTGAGGGGTTGCCCGAAAGGGACAGCCCAAAGAGGACAATATCTGCTAGCGGTGGGCTTGGGCTGTTACAAATGGTATCAGGGCCAGACACCAGGTGATGTGTTAGTGAGGAGGCTATTCCCCGAAAGGGGGTAGACATGAGGCGGCGTGCCAGTAAGGATGTTCGGCCACGAAGGAGGTGGATTTGGTAGGGGTCTCACATTGATTGGAGAAAAAAACGAGTGCCAGCGAGGACGCTGGGCTCTGAGGGGGGTAAATTGTGAGATCCCACATCGGTTAGGGAGAAACACCCTTTATAAGGGCGTGGAAACCTTTCTCAAGCAGACGCGATTTAAAAACCTTGAGGAGAAACCCGAAAGGGAAAGCCCAAAGAGAACAATATTTACTAGCGGTAGGCTTGGGCCGTTACAGAATTTTAGTGAAACCTCTCAATTACTGTCTTTTCTTTAGCAAATTATATATTTTGATGCGAAATTGGCAGAAGAATGGAAGTTTTACCTTCTAAACGGACAAGGTTCCTGTGGCGAAGACGGTGAATAATGGTGAGCTCGTCCAGAAAATCGCCTTTGCTCTTAATGCTGTCCCTGGAGAATTTCTTGACAGCAACTTCAAGCCTGGCAACAGAACTTGATGATGCAGTGAAGTCCTTATCCTTTTCTTCTAGAATCCCTTTGTAAACAACCCCGAAGCCTCCATTTCCCAGAACCATGCTTTCATGGAAGTTATGAGTCGCCTTCCTTAGTTCCTTGTACTTGAACTCTCTCGGCATTCCCGGCAACCTCTTCAGCGTGCCCTGAACATTCGACTCCTCGTCCCTGCTCACTCTTCTCCTCTTCATATAACCAACAAATAACCAAACCCCAATCAGAATCATGATCGTTAGTATCGGAATTCCAACCCCGGCAAGGATCTTCAACCAAGTTAGATTTTTCTTCTCTGGCAGATGTTCCAAATCCAGCATCCATTCCAAGACACAGTTCAGCTGAATTTCCGGGCTGCCTGTGGAAGCAGAAAATCCAATGTATGATTCTTGTTTCACATACTGTTTGAGGTTTATTGTTTCATTGAGAAGAGGTTTATCAGGTTTTGGATCTTTGTTTGCAGACATGTAAACCTGCAAAAGTTTCGATATTCCATCATAAACAACCCAGATGCTGTAATTGGTTCCAATCTCTGGGGATAAAACTATGCCAGCTTTATTCAAGGAAACAGTCTTCCTCGATCGAATGGAGTTGACATTCAGACCGATATGGTTGTCGTCGGGGTCGAAATCCTGCTTCTGAGTATCGAATTCAATGGCTACAATTTGGTTGGTGCTGCTGCCATCGGTAGTTGCATTGGTGAGGCCCATCCACTGCCCCCAGCTCTGATCAGGTACATCAGCAGTCGGAGCTATAAGAAAAGTAAGCCCCTCACCGGCATTCCATTCTTTCTTTCTGAAAATATTGATGTAAAAGTATGAGTTGAAAGAAGCAACAATGTCATCTCCCTCTTCATCTAGCCATAACTTGAAGGGCTGGTGGTACATAATCCGGCCAGACGTATTTTGAAGGCGAACAATATCGTTCTGCGAGTCGGGAGTTAGCTGCAGGGCGCCCTCATCGATGGAAGACGACCCTTGAGTGAAGGAGAAGTCTTTGTTGTGCTCCCTTTCATTGAATCCAACATAGGCAAAACGAGGCTCAAGGCTCGGTTGGCTGCTCACAGCTCCAAAGAGCAATACCACACAAGCCACAAGAACAGCAACCAAGGTACTTGAATCTCTCTTACACAGAATCATTTTCCTTGACAAATTCGTCAACTAACTCAGAATTCTCACAGGAAAACCAGAACATACAGATGAATTCCAGGCTCTGTAGATCAGCAATGAGAATCTCGAATCCAGATCGAGATCTAAGTTCTTCCTTTGTGAAACTGTTTGAGAAAAAGCTAGAGGTAAGCTCTTTTTTGCCTTAAAAGTTAAGAGCTTTCCTCCATGATTATCGCTTTGATATGAAATGAAAAGAACATCATTGATCATCTGTAACTCCTCAACGCGTTAGTTTAATCTTTTGGAAGCAACCGGGTTTTGGGAAAGTTTGGAAATGGTCGAAGGTCAAAGGGGGCTTGAGGAAGAAGGGTCAAAATTTTCATGCTGAAAATGGAGAAAAAGCCATTGATGAATTCTTCACGTTGACAAAAACGAGCAGCTTCTGAGAGGTAACAGTGTAAATATAAAATTGTTTTAGACTGCAACCGAGTTATAGCGATCTGAATGGAATGGCATGTGGAATCTTTTCAACTTTAAAATGATTATTTTATGTATCCACTAACTTGAATTTTTTTTGTTTTTATGAGTGGTTGTTGGTCCCACATCGGAAAGTGATTTGAATAAATGGTTTGTTTATGTGGGTTTCAGATTTGGTCTTAATTCTTTCAAAAGATTGATGTTTTCATCAACTGCTTTGGATTTGGGAATTTTCTTTTTTATTATATCTTACTTGGATTGTATCTTAGATGTCCTAGAGAGTAGAACAAATCACCATTTATAAGGGTGTAGAAACCTTCCCCTAGTAGACGCGTTTTGAAGCTTTGAGGGGAAGCCCGAAAGCGAAAGCCCAAAAAAGACAATATCTGCTAGCGATGGATCTAGTGCGTGACATATACTTTCGACTAAGAGTTCAAAAGTTCGAAACTCTATTCTAGTTGTTGATTTCTTGAGCTGAGAGTACTTGCTTTATGTTGATTGAGCTTTGTTTGTTTTTTGAAAAGTTATTGTTTGACAGTGATCATGTACCTGTATGATTTAATGGTCGAGAGTACTTGCTTTGTGTTGATTGAGCTTTGTTTGTTTTCTGAAAAGTTATTCTTTGACAATGATCACATACCCGTATGATTTAATATTTTACAGGTTATCTTGACAGTTAAATGTACTGAGGTCTACAATTGTTCGGTGAGAATGGTTGAGATACATGCACTTTCAAACTTTCATGGATGAGAACAAGGATCGGATAAGAACGGTATGAGTTTTTTATGGAGTCGTTCATAATATACCATTAGTGTTTCTCAAACTATCATAAATATTTGTACGGGTTATTAAATGTTAGGCTAGCCTTCTTTTTAATTCAATACATCAAAATAGATATAAATGTGGTTATTCTTGTTGACTTAAATATGAAATCTTAGGCTCGGTTTGATAATTATTTTATTTTTGTTTTTTCATCCTTTTTAAACAAAAAAATCAAATGGTTATCTAACATGATTTTATTACGAGAATATCGAAACTAATAATTATATATAAATTTAGAAATTAAAATAAGATTTTAAAAGTTTAAGATATACTTTTTTAACCTTTTAAGAATCCGTCTAAGAAAATTTGATGTGTGACGAACGACAAATCATAATACATTACGTGTTATTATAAAAAGAATTAATATTTGAATATAAATCATATTAAGGTCATTTTCATATATAATGTGACAAAGAACTTTGTTATTTTTATTTTATAAAAAAAAAAATCGTATTTTTCTCCTCTCTATCCTCAAAATAACAATTTTTTTTATATATTTCAAAATAATAATAATATACATATTTTTTAAATTTGTGTAAATAGCTTCTGAAATTTGACTAGATTCTCTAATTTTTTTTTTAAATAAATAATTTGATGATAAACATTAAAGAATTTTCAAATTAGAACTGTTCATGTACAAACAATATATTATATATCTTGGACTTTGACATTTTATATTTATTTTATTTTCATCTGTATAATTTTTAATTTTTTTTTTGTTTTTAATTTTCATAAATACTTTTCTTGATACATGTTGACAAAAATTTATGTTGTATTTAATTGATACTTCTAGGATAAATGTTTTCAAATTCAATTACAAATTTGATTAATATATGAAATATAAGTCATTGTTATATTGATGCCATAGAAAATTTTAATTAAAAAAAGAAAAAAATTAAATACGGAACGGTAGAAAAATGGCTAGATAATATAAAATACCCCTTTAATTACGCTCCAAGACTTTGAAAAGTCGACATTTGGAGCTTGAGAGATTCGAACGGTTGACATTTCATCTCTACAATTTAAATACTATTCCAAAAATGCCCTTGAATTTATTTGATGAGACGATTTGAGACTTGCCTACTGAAAGGTAACTTTTTTTTTTACCTTTGTTCCAAAAAAAATAGTCAACGACAGTTTTGGACGAACAACAATAAGAACATTTAAGACACGAGATATTGTTGCTCGAGCCACGGTGGGATGAGAAAAGAGGTGAAAAGGAAAGACACGTACAAGTATAGCACTAACATATACTTTCTCTGTTAAGCATTTTTTGTTCAGTACTTCGTTGAAAAGAACGTCAATGAAAATTCGAGACAACCCTCAACATCTCCCACCGATCCATCTAACCTCATGGGTATAAATGAAATTTCCTATTAAAAAAAGTAAAAAGTAAAAAGAAAAAAGAAAAAAAATCAAAATTAATTTTTTTTTTAGGTTAGTTTGGATTTTAGATGCAAATTCCAAGTTCCCGCCATCTGTTTGTAAGATCCCTTCTTTTTGTTTTATTCATCTTCTTCGTCCTCGCAGCCGGCATTATACACACAACCGTCGGCTGGACTTGCAGGCCGCTCCTATGGAACGGTGATCAGACATGGTGGCTCGTATTTACTGCTTTCCTCTCGCAACCCTTCTATTATGTCCCGCTGCTTCGTCCACATTCATAGAAGAAAAGTAGCCGCTTACGGTCATAGCCCTGTTTTCACCTCCTCGCGCTCTGCTTCTTCAATTCCACATTCTCGCCATGACCCTCTTTTCTTCAAACCCATTAGCAACCCTCTTCCTCCGTCTTCAATCCCGTTGCAAATCTTGGTGGATCAGTACAAATCATCTCAGCTTCACTCCAATCCTGTACAACGTGATGAAAAGGTTGAGTATCTCGCTCGGCGGTACCGGGATTCTTGCTGCCCAAAAGATGCGGACGAGCTCCATTTGCAGGTTTTCAAAAATGGGTTCGTTAATGATTTGTTTTTGTGTAATACCCTTATTAATGTTTATGCTAGAGTTGGTGATTTGGGTTCCGCCCGGAAGGTGTTCGACGAAATGCTCCTTAGGAACTCGGTCACTTGGTCTTGTTTGATATCAGGGTATACTCAAAACAGAATGCCAAATGAGGCTTGTGGGCTCTTTATGAGAATGGTTGCTGATGATTTTATGCCTAATCACTATTCTTTTAGCAGCGCCATTCGAGCTTGCCAAGAGTGTGGCGAGTATGGTTTGAAATTTGGGATGCAAATTCATGGGTTGATGTCAAAAACTCAGTATTGCACTGATGTTACGACAAGTAATGTTTTGATATCGATGTATGGAAGTGTTGTGGGCATGGTTGATTATGCCCGTCGTGTTTTTGATAGCATATGGCCCAGAAACTTGATATCTTGGAACTCTATGATTTCTGTATATTGCCAAAGGGGAGATGCAATTTCTGCATTTGAAATCTTTTCAACTGTGCAGAAGGAAATCATGGGAGATCGTCTCAGACCAAATGAGTATACCTTTGGTAGTTTAATATCTGCTACCATTTCTTTTGTCGATTCTGGTTTGACTTTGCTTAAACAGATGCTGAGCATGGTGGAAAAATCTGGTTTCTCGCATGATTTATATGTAGGTAGTGCTTTGGTTAGTGGGTTTGCAAAGTTTGGGTCGATCAATTATGCCAAGGATATTTTTCAGCGGATGAGTTATAGAAATGCAGTATCTATGAATGGTTTGATAATTGGACTGGTTAGACAGAGTAGAGGTGAAGAAGCAGTTGAACTTTTCGCGGAGATGAAGGATTCGGTTGAAATAAACCTTGATTCTTATGTGATTCTTTTGACTGCCTTTCCTGAGTTCTGTGTTCTGGAAGATGGGAAGAGGAAGGGAAGTGAGGTTCATGCATACCTCATCCGAACAGGCTTACTCAATGCTAAGATTGCAATTGGGAATGGCCTCATAAATATGTATGCTAAATGTGGAGCTATCAATGATGCTTCTACAGTTTTTAGGCTCATGGACAATAAGGATTCAGTCACGTGGAACTCTATGATTACCGGTCTGGATCAAAACGAACACTTTTTAGATGCAGTTGAAACTTTTCAAGAGATGAGGAGAACAGTATTATTTCCTTCAAATTTCACAATGATTAGTGCTTTAAGTTCCTCTGCAAGCTTAGGATGGATCAGGGTTGGAGAACAGTTACATTGTGAAGGACTTAAACTGGGGCTTGATTTGGATGTTTCTGTTTCAAATGCTCTTTTAGCTTTGTATGGTGAGGCTGGGTATGTTGAGGAATGCCAGAAAGCTTTCTCCTTGATGCTCAAATACGATCAAGTTTCATGGAACTCTTTGATTGGAGCTTTAGCAGATTCAGAGTCATCATTGCTTGAAGCTGTGGAAAATTTCCTGGTTATGATGCGGTCCGGATGGCGTCCTAATAGAGTAACCTTCATTAGCATACTTGCTGCAGTATCTTCTCTTTCACTTCATGCACTGGGCAAGCAGATTCATGCTTTAGTCTTAAAGCATAATGTTGCAGCTGACACTGCTATAGAGAATGCACTTTTGGCTTGCTATGGGAAATGTGGAGATATGAGGGACTGCGAGAATATCTTTTCGAGAATGTCCAATAGACGGGATGAAGTGAGTTGGAATTCCATGATTTCGGGTTATATACATAATGAACTCTTGCCCAAAGCCATGGACATGGTCTGGTTTATGACGCAGAGAGGCCAGAGATTGGATGGTTTCACCTTTGCAACTGTGCTTAGTGCTTGTGCAACCATTGCGACCTTAGAGTGCGGCATGGAAGTCCATGGATGCAGCATAAGAGCGTGTTTAGAATCCGATGTTGTTGTTGGAAGTGCACTTGTAGATATGTATGCAAAATGTGGAAGAATAGATTATGCTTCAAGGTTCTTTGAACTGATGCCTGCAAGAAACTTATATTCCTGGAACTCCATGATTTCGGGGTATTCACGTCATGGACATGGAAGAAAAGCGTTGGATCTTTTCGCCCGAATGAAGTTACATGGTCCACTCCCAGATCATGTCACTTTTGTTGGAGTTCTCTCTGCATGTAGTCATGTAGGCTTAGTCAATGAAGGGTTCCGTCATTTTGATTCAATGAGTGAAGTATACGGATTAGCTCCCCGAATGGAGCACTTTTCATGTATGGTGGACCTTCTGGGTCGCGCCGGAGAGCTAAACAAGGTGGAGGATTTCCTCAACAAGATGCCAGTGAAGCCTAACATTCTAATATGGAGGACAGTCTTAGGGGCATGTTCCAGAGCCAATGGTCGCAACACAGCACTCGGGAGGAGAGCAGCCGAAATGCTGCTGGAAATGGAACCAAGGAATGCAGTGAACTATGTCCTTCTCTCAAACATGTATGCTTCAGGTGGGAAGTGGGAAGACGTGGCGAAAACGAGGGTGGCAATGAGGAAGGCGTTTGTGAAGAAGGAAGCAGGATGTAGTTGGGTGACAATGAAGGATGGCGTTCATGTGTTTGTTGCAGGAGACAAATCACACCCTGAAAAGGACTTAATATATGAAAAACTGAAGGAACTGAATACGAAAATGAGGCAAGCCGGGTATGTACCGGAGACTAGATTCGCACTTTACGACCTCGAAGGGGAGAACAAGGAGGAGCTTCTGAGCTATCACAGTGAAAAGATTGCAGTTGCTTTTGTTCTAACTCGTCCATCAAAAATGCCTATAAGAATAATGAAGAATCTCAGAGTTTGTGGGGATTGCCACTCTGCTTTCAAATACATTTCAGCGATCGTTGGAAGGCAGATAGTTTTGAGAGATTCAAATAGATTTCATCACTTCGAGAATGGCCAATGTTCATGTGGGGATTATTGGTAGTTCGATGGTTTGTTGTTTCCTAATGAAAAACAGCGTTTCAAGGTACTGAAGGACTAACTAAACTCAAAATTATGAAAAACAGTATACTAATTCTTGATCCTCTGTGAACTGTGAATTCTTCAAATTTTGCTTCCATTAGTTTGTTTCCCATTAGTGTTATACAAATTCAACCTGATGCTCGAGGGAATTTGTTAAATTGCATTAAGGAGGGCCTGTAAGTTGCATATCTTGAGCATTGCCTTTGCTGCCGTTATTGCATTTTGTCTTACAGGTGCTGTCCGATGCTCAGTCTGGGGACTTTTCTTTACATTTGAATCTCTTCTATCAAGTAGGTTGTGCTCTGAAAGTTCATATTCACTTTTTTATCTGTTTACTTGTTAAATTTCATGTAACGGCCCAAGGCGACCGTTATTAGATATTATCCTCTCCTCAAGGCTTTAAAATGCGTCTGTTAGGGAGATGTTTCGACATCCTTATAAAGAATGCTTCGTTCCCCTCTCCAACCGATGTGGGATCCAAAATCCACCCTCCTTCGGGGCTCAGCATCCTCACCCAGCATCCTTGGTTGGGGAGGAGAATAAAGCAATCTTTATAAAGGTGTGGAAACCTCCTCCTAACAGACACATTTTAAAAACCTTGAGGGGAAACTCGGAAGGGAAATGTGATGTCCCACATTGGTTGGGGAGGAGAACAAATCACCCCTTATAAGGGTGTGGAAACCTTCTCCTAGCAGACGTGTTTTAAAGCCTTGAGGGAAAGCCCGAAAGGGAAAGCCCAAAAAGGATAATATCTGCTAGCGGTGGATCTGGGTCGTTACAGGAAAATCCAAAGAAGACAATATCTGCCAATGATGGGCTTAGGCCGTTACAATTATCTTTCCTGTTCTACATTAATTTCCTTCGATTTTCCATTGCATTTGCTTAACAAACCAAGTTACAACTCGGTTCGATTCATCATTCTAGGTTGATTTACAACTTGGCTGCTGGTTTAGTTCCTGTATATGAATGATCAGATAGACTGTGGCAAAGAGGGCTTGCTAGACACTGATTGGGACTGAAAGTTTCCATCACAATTCTGTAAGCACTCATTTGTTTTCTGAAAACATTCCTTTAGAGAGACCAATGGAAAAACACTTATTCTTTCTGTCTGTTGTTTGTCAGCAACTTTACTGACCTCATGAATTTGTAGGGTCCCCTGAGAGAAGTGGATCTAATGCTGCTGCTGAAACTCAATGTCCCCCATACTCACAGAGCAGGTATTTGGGCTGTATGGTTCCCAAGAAACATCTCATTGTGGAGGTATGGATTCCTTTTTACCCCCATGTTCTCATATCATTTTTCAAGTAGATTGTGCTCCTTCCACAGGACATGCAATTGCGTGGCTGTTAATGGTATGGTTGATAAGCATGCAGCTAAGGCATAATGTTGTTTTGTCTAATCCTCTCATAATAATATGTTTGATACTTGTTTGTTTTGTGTTCTTAAACAACATATGTTTGGTAGATTGGGAAGAGATTGAGACTTGATTCCCTTTCTTATTCTAATTTTCATACGTTTCTGAATGATTGGGAGGAAAATCTTCAAACTTTGTTTATTCAATCTCTTTACTTTTAAAAAAATATCTAATAGGCGTTTCAACTTTCAGCTTTGTTTTTAGTAGGTCTTTGAACGTTAAACAGTGTCTAACAGGCTCTTACGACATCGTTTGATAACCATTTGTTCTTGCATTAAACTTTCAATTCTGCATACAGTAGATATCTAAGTTTTTCATAGACACGAATACGATGCATACCTGCAAACTTTGAATGGATATCGTGGATCAGCCAATCCAATCTTCATATGTGGATAAATACTCTCGAAATATTATAAATCTCAAAAGATGAGATGATTTCGATGAGATCATCAAAGAGTTTGAAAATCTTTAGTTATTCCTTTGAGCCAACGTTGTACAAAGGGAGGATAATGTGCCAACTCATTATGCTCTCAAGACATCCTCACTTACCCAACATATTCCTTGTGGCTGTCCCTACCTGCCTCCCATTGCACACCCTTTTGTCTATGGAGGCAAAAGAAACCTTGTCTTTTTCATTAATTCATATCCATAGAAGCATAATGTCTTTTTAACTTGCTGACTCGATAACTGTTTATTGAAAGCGTGCATGTTTAAAAATGACTTTTTTTTGCTTCCTCTTTTCGACCATCAAGGTATCATCGAGATTCATGATCATTGACAGAACCCAATTGAATAGGTCATTAATGAGTTTATCTACAATTACACGAACACAGTTACTCCACCCGACATGTTGTATGACCTTTATACCATCAAGCTTGGAAAATCATGTGTGGTAAGAAAAAAGACCTAAAATAGGGACCAAAGACCAAACCAAAAGTCTCTACTTGAGTTAGAGCCATTTATTACAAATTTGATTTTGATTTTGATTTTTTCATTTTTTTATTGAACTTTTTTTAAAATTATTTTTTTATCAAACTTATTTCTAATATATATATATATATATATATATATATATATATATATATATATACTCGACTCGAGGTAACCCAACAACTATATATTTTAATTCTGATGACAAAAGTGTTTAACAATTAAAGTTCAACCGAACAAAACCCAACTTAAAATTTAGTCATTATTCTGAGTTGGGATCGCTTGAGAACCATTTTATTTTTAACTAAAGAAATGAGAATGGAGCGATCAACTCTTAGAACGACAATAAATAATATTTTATTAAAGTTAATATTAATGTCATGCTAATTATTTTTCTCCCTAAATAGATTCTAAGTTACAATTACAAAACAAGCAATTGCTGTGATTCAAGCTTGATTCCAGCCTTCATTTTTCTAATGAATTCTTCGCATTTCTTATTCAATTCCTCTTTGCTCAATGCCCCAACTTCTTCTTCGTCGTCGTCGTCGTCGTTATCGTCATCCTCCACGATCGATCTTTCACTTTCTTCATCTTTTTGAATCAACCCATTTCCCCTCTCTTCTCTATCTTCAACTTTGCTCTCAATTTTGCTGCTGCCATCCGCCATGGAAGCCTCTAGAGCTTCAGCTCCCCTGCTATCTCCGCCACTGTGTCGGTCGCCGGAGCAGCTGATAAGACCGGAGTTTCGAACAATGAAGACAAGGAGGCCATTGCAGAGCAAGAACATGTAGTTCTTGTGGGCTGTTGCAGAGATATAAAGGTTGAAAGAGTGGAGGAAAGGGAGAAGAGAAGAGTAAAACACCATTGCAGAGAGCAGAGAAGCTGAGATCAAAAGCTTCATTGTGGGAATTTTTGATGATTTTGGGCAATTGGGTCAACTGGGTCAACTGGATTCTTCAAAATTTTCACAAAGATTGAACCTTTTTGTTTCAAAAATGCTTTCTTTTTGCTCTATTTATAATGAGTTGTGGAGCCCTGTATGAACATATGAAACTGCGAAATGACGATTTTGCCCTTTGCCTTGTGGGGTGGTGTCCAATGATTTAGGGGTAATTTGGGTTTTGAGTCGGTCAACTTTTTATTTTATTTCATTAAGAAAGACTTTGACATCTGACTTGTTAATTTTCTTGCACAAAGGAATTTTTTTGTTTTATGATGAACACAAGGAGACTTTCCATGTGACCATTGTGTTTGAAAATTATAATGTAATTTAGGGTTTAGCGGGAATTGTAATGGGTAGCAAAAATACACGAAGAAGGTCATGGGTTGAGAACGGGAATTGAATTCTCTAAGACCTAATTTACTATTGTTTCTTCGTGGTCGGTTACGCATATCACAGTTCGTAAATCTGATTTACGTTTTTTATTATTCCAATTTTACCCTTATTGGTATACTAGCATGTATATCGGTAGTATATATATGTACTTTATGAAATAGATCAATTCTACTACTTATACACCAAATTTATCATTGAATACGACATTCATTTGTTTTGAAGTATTAAACTTATAGTGGTTTAGTTCATCATGATTAGAGTGTTATACGGGCAAGATATAGAAAAAAGAAAAGATCCTGAGACTCTATAAAAGACGTGTAAAGTAAGCCATAAGTTAAAGTCTAAATATCTCGATGAAAACTAGTCAGTATCGATTTGGACACTAGACAAGTCTATCGTATCGAGTTATGCAAGGCTAGATAACTAAGCTTATGATGTAAATAGGAACGACTTCATAAAAAATTATCTAATCAATTTGGCCACCAAATGGAGGAACCACACGATATCTAGATTTTAGCTCAAGCCATTTACTCTCGATCAATATGTCAAAAGTTCAAATCTGCCTCCAAGCACCTCACAACAAAAGGGTTTCCTCGTTGACAATACGTTCGTAGAGTCCAAGCAACCTCGTGGACAACACGAGTAGGAGGCACAAAAGTACTCGTTTGATAATTATTTTATTATTATTATTTAAAATTAAATTTATAAATTAAGTGAATATATTTTAGCTTTGGATTTTTGAAGGGTCCTCACTCTCTCTATCCCCTTCTTTCCTCAAGCCCATCTTTTGAATTGGCCCATTGGGCTTCTTCTCTCACAACCTACTTATATTTACTCCTTTTGCCATTCTTCTAGCTCGTGTCGGGTTTTAATTTGGTCTCTATAATTTTATTAAGTAATTTACTACGTACTATGACTTTATTATGAATTGACGGTTGACTGTTGACGGTTGATGATGATTGCTGTTAAAATATTTGTAAAATACAAAGATGATAGGATTCTCGATCTAAGTATAGTTTAACTGGTTAAGACATTATATCATCGACCGAAATGCTAGAAGTTTAAATACCTCCTCCCACTTACATGTTGCCACCCCTGAGCCCTGTGGCCTAAGTGAGTTACCCTGGGGCACATATGTGTGTCGTAGTGTGGGTGAGCATGCTGAGACGAGTGTCTCGGGTGACTTCCTTTGAATCGGATTTTTTAAAGACAGTACCGGGTGGCATGAGTGTGTCGGTATTGCGCCCTAGCCCACGTGTTGGAGGTTGCTGCATACACCTGCTATCTGACATGGTATCCGTAAATGACATGGCATGGGCACAAGAGGGCCAATGTCTCGATAGAACCCAGATGGATTGGATGTTCGGGACGTCCCGATGAGACCGAGTGAGTTGCGGTGCCCGACGACACCCTAAGACTCGTGATGTGTCAAGACATATGGGCCATGTCGATGGAGATCGAGACGACGAGAATAGACACGACGTTGTATCGAGAGACCTTGGCCCTGAGCAGAGGCAAGGTCGAGCCAAATAACTTGGCCTAGTGTAGAGGTAAGTCGGATATGTTGCAGACGATTGAACGTACACGCGTAGATGGCGTGTGTGGTCGAACAAACTTGGATTCCACACAAACAATGTTCGATTGGCGATACACTCAAAACATCTAATTTTGTTTTAAATATTATATTTCTTTTTCTTTTTTTATTATTTAGGTTTTAGTTTATTATAAAATATATTAATATATATATATATATATATATATATATATATATAGTAAAATATAGGAACATAATAACAAATTTAGAGGTGTATTTCACTAAAGTAATGATATTAATAATAAATAATAAAAATAATTTTCTTTTTTATCAATTATTAAAAAAATCTCAAACCAATTGATGCATTCTTATTGTTTGTATTATAGGAGGCATTAATGATGATACAAAAGACCATAAATGTGGGTTCAACCTCCATACTTTCAACATATTATATATATATATATATATTATAGTTTCGTGTATAAAAAAACTATATATTATAATCGATATACATTTAATTTTTACTTAAACCTTAATTATGATGTGATCCTTATCTTTGAATAAAAGCATAGCATATGCTCCTATCTTTTAACCAAAGTTTATCTTACGTCCTTACTGATTGTAATAAAGTATAAAGAATTTAATATGTCGAGTCTTTTGTAGTTATACTTTAAAAGGAATCATAAAAATTCACCGAGCATGATCAGGTGCCTTTAAAAACCAGAACTCAATTTTATGTTCTTCGACCGACGTAGGTCGACCTACATGACCAGTATAAAATGTTATGGAAGGAAACATATTCATTATATCTACACAAATAGCTTATCGTGACAGGTTTTTGCTGTACTTTAATAGCACCCGAGCGGAAGTAAGACTAAAGTTAAACAACATAAACATAAAATCTAAAAGGGTCAGTAGATTACGTATGCATATAATTTGCATGGAATATTGAAAACCATAGCACAAAAAGCTTAGGATTAATTTTATAATAAGGTTAATTCCAAAACATTTATAATAATTACCTCTCAAAGACTCAAATGGTAAAAATCTTAAAAAAAAAAAAAGGTAAAAAAGTAATATTCTGTATTATTATTATTATTCATAAAAGAAGTAAAAATTGCATTACCAATGAGATAATATAAACCATAATTAATTTATAGTTAATGAAATAATAGAAATTAAAAAAGAGGAAAATAATTATTAAGCTACATTATTGATTTTTAGTTTAAAAAAAACAATAAAATTAATATTAAATTATGTGTTTTTATTTTTTTAATTATAATCTAAAAATGCAAAAATAAAATTATATTTTTTTATAAAAAAGAGGAAATGTGAAATTATATTACTATACTTTAAATTAAAAAAAAAAATGGCGCATGTTAGCAGGACGCACCATTAAATAGCATATTACAATTCCATTTTACAAGATTATATTTCCATTTTTATTATTATTACAACATTACACTAATTTTTATTTTCTCTTTCTAATTTTTCCGACCGGCGATCGAGGGCCTCCATCTCCAAATTCGTCGCCGCCGCATCTTCGGAGGCAGAGCCGGCTCCGAACCGGATCTAAATCGTCCATGTCCGACTTTCAGATTTCTTCAATTTTATGAACCCTAATTTACTCGTCTGTGAACTTGCAGTTACATTTTCCCCTATTTTTATTTTTTATTTTGAAAAAAGGGAAACCTAATTTTTAGGGGAATTTCTTCTGGTTTTCGCGGGAGGAAGTTCGTTTGAGTGAGTTAGTGCCTCTGGTACAGTGAGATTTGCCTACTGGTGAGCTAAGTTTCGCTCGATGTTCGAAGTACACGTGGCGATCTGGATAGTTACTACCTCCATTTTCTTGCTCGGATTTCAGTGAGCTTCTTTTAGGTATTTCTTTTTTTGGCTTTATTGTTCTTTTTTAATTTCAAGGGATAAAGTATTTGTTGCGTATGGATTTTCATTTTACATGTGCTATGGGTTTTGATTTAATAATTGAGCTGAATCTTGTGCCTTCTTGTTCATACGGATTTGTTGCGAAATGGGGTTTCTGATTTTGGTTTGAAGTGTTTGAATGTTGAAGAAATAGCGACGGAATGTTGAGATATTTAGTTGCGGCTGTACTCTGACTACTGAGAATTGAAAATGTCTATGTTGTCGAACTGTTTGAGATTGGGACTGGTTGATTCTTTTACTTCTAAGATCGAGATTCTTGAGGCTTTGAATTTTTTTTCCTTTTTTGCAGTATACTGTAGCTAGATGCTAAACTATGCATGAATTTCCCGTTCAAGATCTGTCTTCTATTTCCCTTTCTTCTTGTTAATTACTGTAATGTTCAAAAACTCTGCAGGAATTGTTCGCTTTTTCAAGCTAATTCCCGTGGGAACGTTGACATTGGTGGCAATTATTAGGGAACGTGGAAATGTGTATATGTTTAAGAATGTGGCTTCATGAGCTGTTAAGAACAACTCACTGGTCGTAGTTTTTGTCTTGAAGTGTTTTTGGTCTGTCACTGATTTAGATTTGTAAATGGAAGTAAACAAAGAGGAGGCCCTTAAAGCAAAAGTGGTTGCTGAGAAGCGTTTCGCGAAGCGAGACTTTAATGGTGCAAAGAATTATGCATTGAAGGCCAAAACTTTGTTCCCAGAGCTGGAAGGGATATCTCAAATGGTGTCAACTTTTGATGTTTACATTGCCTCTGAGATTATGTGTAATGGTGAAGTGGACTATTATTCTATTCTAGGATTGAAGCCTTCTGCGAACAAAGATGCTATTAAAAAACAGTACAAGAAGATGGCTGTGTTGCTTCATCCCGACAAGAATAAGACCGTCGGGGCTGATGGAGCTTTTAAGCTCGTTTCTGAAGCATGGGCTCTACTTTCTGATAATTCCAAGAGAAATGCGTATGATATCAAGAGAACCACTCAATTGGCATCTGCAGTTAGCCAACCGAACTTATCTTCAGCTCATGCTTCTGCGGCTACGAGTTTTAACAACTATACCAATATGTCCATGTCGCACAGTAGACTCGATACCTTTTGGACTGTTTGCACCTCTTGTAAAGTTCAGTATGAGTATCTCCGTAAATATGTGAACAAGAAACTTCGGTGCAAGAATTGCCGTGGCGTTTTCATTGCTGTGGAAACAGGAGCTGCCCCTGTGAATGGTTCTTTTCCCTACTGCAACTGGTCAAATGTTGCGGGTAATCGATATGGAAGTCATGGATTTGAGGGAGTTACGTATATCCCAGGAGATACTAGCTTTTATACTGGACATGGATATGAGTACGTTTCGAATGTGTCGTTTCAGTGGAACTCATCATCTGCATTCTACACACAAACCTTGGGCCCGAATGGGCCGGGTTCGGTACCTGTTGATAATCTTGGTCAAACAAATGGGCATTTCAGTTCATCTGGAGTGAAAGAAAAGGCAAGAGTCAACGGGAAGCGCCCTACAAAAAACAAGGTGGCTAATATGAATGCAAGCACACCCTCCAGCTGTCATGAGATCTTGGGATCAGATAGCAATGGAGCTGATAAGAGAAGGAAGGTTGTTGCAGAAGCCAGTTTGAGAAATGGTTATGTGGAGAAGGGACCATTGGCTGCTTCAGATTCAGGAGTAGCTAATGGAAATGCCACTGTTAAGCCCGAGCCTGTAGTTTGCTCCTCTCCAACTGAGCTTTCAGCTAAGCGCTCCCCTGTCCCTCCGGCATTCGACGCCAGAAAGCTGCTAATTGAGAAGGCAAGGACTGTAATTCGCCAGAAATTGGAAGAGATAAGGATTTCTTCAGCCACTGCTTCTCTTGAGAAATCAAAGACGGGATCTCAAGTTGGATTGGTTGGAAAGACTGGACGGGCACCGAAAACTACTAATACCGACGTATCCGGGCGTAGGTTAGACAAAGATAAAGCTGGACCAGTCTCAATAAACGTACCTGATTCCGACTTCCACGATTTTGACAAAGATCGATCAGAGGAATGCTTCAAGGCAAAGCAAATATGGGCTCTTTACGATGAAGAAGACGGCATGCCTCGCTTGTACTGTCTGATTCGCGAGATCATCTCTGTTAAACCATTTAAGATTCATATCAGTTACTTAAACTCCAAAACTGATACGGAATTCGGCTCAGTCAACTGGTTGGAGTACGGGTTTACGAAGTCCTGTGGAAATTTTCGTGCTTGGCACTCTGATGTTATTGAGCATATCAACATCTTCTCTCATGTCTTAAGCCGCGAAAAGGCCGGTAGGGGAGGCTGCATTCGGATATATCCAAGAAATGGAGACATTTGGGCTGTTTATCGAAACTGGTCATCAAACTGGGACAGATCAACCCCTGATGAAGTGAGGCACCGCTATGAAATGGTGGAAGTTCTTGATGATTACTCTGAAGAGCTTGGTGTCTGTGTGTGCCCCCTTGTGAAACTAACTGGATTCAAGACGGTTTATCAAAGAAATACAGACAAAGATGCCATTCGTTGGATTCCCAGGAAAGAAATGCTACGATTTTCACACCAGGTACCTTCTTATTTACTAAAGGGAGAAACAAGTACATTACCTGAACATTGTTGGGATCTCGATCCAGCCGCCACTCCCGACGAACTGCTCCACACTGCCACAGAAAATGAAGGGTTAACTGAAACCCAATTGAGTTAAGTTGAGTTGAGCAGGAGAACGACGACGAAGACGATGATAATGGGTGGGAGTCGATCTGAGCAGTCTTAACCAAAGTTAGGTCTAACTGTACAAACATGTCTCATGAGTTTGGCCAAATGCCATTACAGACACAAGGTGAGAAACCTACAGATGATTTGGATAATGTCTGCTGATTTGCTTCTTCTATGACGACGAATTTACTTAGCTTCAAGTAAATGCTTTCTATCTCTATCTGGTCGTAATCTTAAAGGAGCACTTGAAAAATTTTCGTTGGCTGAGAAACTTTGAGGCATATTATCCTGCACTGCATGCACCACAATACAAGTTATTATGCTACGTTCTTCCCTGCCCTTGTTAATCAGCAGAGCTTTGTTTTTCCTTTTCCTTCCAGATTAGTTTCTCTTACTTTGTTCTAATGGAAATGAACGAGAACTTGGCTGTTTATTCTCTTGATCTTGTTGTAAAATTTGAAGCTTCATTGCTTTGAAGCCTCATTTCATACGACAAACTACTGATTTTCTCATTTCCTTGCATCGGTTGAAGAGGAAAACGAAGCACTCTTTATAAGTGTGTGGAAACCTCCCTATAGCAAACGTGTTTCAAAAACCTTGAGGGAAGCCGAAAGAGGACAATCTCTACTAGCGGTGGATTTTGAGTTGAAGGGAAAGCCCAAAGAAGACGATATCGGCTAGTTGTGTGTTTGAGCGATTACACTACTAGATTCTCAAAGAAGGACAATATCTATTAATGGTGGGCTTGAGCGGTTATACTCCCAGAATCTCATTCACATATCCAAAACACCATCATCTTATGTCGAGCTAGATTAAATTAAATTTACCGTAATCTATCGAGCCGGGAAATATTAGTCTCTTTGTGTCAAAACTGGAAAGCTTCCATTAGAATCTTAGCTCTTAGCCCCAAGCCTCCATTAGAATGCTTTTCCCCTTGCAGCTGCTACTAAGTGACCAGTTCTTCCATTCATTGTACGGCCTAGAAAGTCAACTCATTGACCTGTCTGCAATTTGTGGGCAATGAAATGAATGAAGAACAAGCAGCAGAAGAGAAAAGAGCCTTTTTCCTCTTCTTTTTGGACCGATATTTCGGCTGAGGACTGCGACAGGCCGTCATGATTCGCAGAAAAAGAAATAAAGAAAGAAACCTTCACATTTCTCAAAGCCGCTTTCGAACAAGATGAACCCCCACTTCGCTGACACAAAGTCGCGCCGATTTCTGGTAATTTCTTCCTCGATTCTCGTGTTTTTTTCTTTTGTAGCTTCGCGATATGAATTCGATTGTGGCTTGATTTCCGGTTTAAACAGGTTGGATTGAAGAGCTTAATTTGCCTGATCTTTCGCTTCTTTCATGTGTTCTTCTTCGATTTGATTTTGAATGTTTCGTTTTTCTTTTCCGTGAAATCAACGTTGTGATTTGTAAAGGTTTGGAAAACGGCGTCTCGGTATCATTTGATTCACACGGCGGCTCTCCTTGCTGCCCCCTTCCACCAAGAACCCTAACATTGTAAGTCTTTTCCCTTCTCTCATTCCTCGAGTTTCTTTACATATATGCGGTCCGATATTGAATAAACTCGTATCACCTTTACATGGAAGTTAATTTTCTTTAAAATGGCGTTTTGTATTATATACATATATAAATCATTATGATTTTTTTGCAAAAACGACCCCCGAATTTTCAAAAATTTTAATGATAACATAACTTTAAAACTCGCGTAGGTAAAAGTATTTTAATTTTTTTTTTTAAGTTAAAGGTATTATTGAAAATCTTTATCAGTTTGGAAAATCCAAAGCTATTACATATTTTTTAGACCTCTAACAACAAACGTACTCCTTAATATTGAAGTTGGGTTCGACGTTTAGGGTTTATTAGACCTAGAGTTTGCCCCTAACAAAAAATATACTACATAATAGTTGATTAAGACTATGTGAATGTAGGGAAGATGTTTACGAAATCCTAGAGTTCAATACTTTTTGTGTAACGACCTGACTTTCCCTTCCGGGCTTCCCCTCAAAGTTTTAAAACGAGTCTGCTAGGGGAAGATTTCCACACCCTTATAAAGGGTGGTTTGTTCTCCTCCCCAACCAACGTGGGACATCACAATCCACCCCCCTTCGGGGCCTAGTGTCCTCGCTGGCACTTTTTCCTTCCTCTAATCGATGTGGGACTGCCCCCAAATCCACCCCCTTTGGGGCCCAGTGTCCTTACTGGCACACTGCCTCGTGTCTACCCCCCTTCAGGGAACAATGAGAAGGTTGGCACATCGTCCGATGTCTGGCTCTGATACTATTTGTAACGACCCAGATTCACTACTAGCAGATATTGTTCTCTTTGGGCTTCCCCTCAAGGCTTTAAAACGCGTCTGCTAGGGGAAGGTTTTCACACCCTTATAATCAGTGGTTTGTTCTCCTCCCCCAACCAATATCGGACATCACATTTTGAGTTTCTTTGGGAGACAAATATAGTAGAGTCATTGTCTTTTGAGAATAGTCGAGATGCACGCAAACTGACTCGAACACTTACAAATATAAAAAACAAAATGGGGTGAAGAGAGACATTAGTGATAGAATATACGTGTGAATCAACATCGAGAAAAGTATGAGAAAGTGTGTAATGAGAGCTTTGTGAGACTCAACGACTGGACCTAGTAGCTTCTTTGCCCATTCATTTTTCTTTGTAAGTAATGATCAACGGTCAAATCTTCCAATTACAAGGATGTGTTTGTTAACCTTGGTCGAGTTACGCTCACTTTAACTAATCCAATTATTCATATTATTTATTTTATATACATTTTTTATATGTTACTATTTTAATTCTTCCCAAATTTGAAAAACCAAACATTTCCCAAGATATTGGAGGACAAATCTAACGGCCCACTTGATCCATTGGAGTTTTGGGCTTTCTTGTCTCGGCCCAATAAAAAGGATACTTGTGGCATGCGGGCGACCCCACCAATATCTTAGATGCCACGTGGCATAATAATACGCCATAAATGATCTGCATGAGAATCTGGGTTTAAGCAGAAGGACCAATAGGATGCTGCTGACGTGTAGCAATCCTAATCCACTATATCTTTCCATCCCCAATATAACCTCCATTTTCACTACCTTCATCCTCGTCTAAACCCAGCCTTCACCCAAAAATGGCCACCTCTGCTATCCAGCAATCCGCCTTTGCCGGCCAGACTGCCTTGAAGCAATCCAATGAGCTCGTCCGAAAGGTCGGCGCTTTCGGTGGCAGCCGCTTCACCATGCGGCGGACGGTCAAGAGTGCTCCTCAAAGCATATGGTAAAGCTCCTTCATATATTTACTTTACCAGTTTGTTGGGAGTGTTTGTTTAGCTCTCTTTTTGTTTATCAGGATCAGAGGAAGTTAAACTGTTCTAAAGTTACTGCCCTGATGTGTTTTCTGTATCTTTATGCTAGTATATTTGGCTAGTTTTTACCTGTGATACAAAGTGTCGTGTTTATTTAACTCGTGGGGCTGTCCCTGCAGAGGCTCGTCTCTAACTGAGCGAGCCTGACGAGTTAGACACAGTTGTGACAGATACACTACCCGTCTTTGGTCATTTGGCCTTGGTATTATTTGATTCAGGTTCTACACATTCGTTTATCTTTCATGGATTTGTTGAGCTAGCCCACTTAGAGTTGGAACCGTTAGAGGCCACCCCGTCCGTATCCACCCCTCTGCTCACTAGTTTTTGATGGCTGCTCATAGGATTAAGGGGTAGTATAATAGTGTCACGAGTTTTTGATGGCTACATTCATAGGGTTAAGGGAGGTAGTGTAACAGTGTCAGAACGAGTCATAGAAGTCTGATAGTGTTAAACATGCAAGACTTCGATGTCATCTTGGATATGAACTAGTTAGGCGAGAACCGCGCTCTCATGAATTGTGAGGCTTGGATAGTAACTCTTAGACTACTGGCCGTTTGAGAAGTTTCCTGCAAATTTCAAGCCGTAAATCTCTACTCTCATCCCTACGAAATTGTGAATTTCGTAGAGATAGAGATTGAAATAGGAGGCGGGAACTTCTCCATCTCCGCGTCATGGATTTCTGTAGTTGAATATGATAAGTTCGAGAAAAGATCACTTTACGGTGATTCGAAGAACAAATAAGAAGAAGAATTTGAAGTTCCATTTGAAATGCAAACGCTTTGTTTTCTTAACAGGTATGGTCCAGATCGCCCAAAATACTTGGGACCCTTCTCTGAACAAACACCATCCTACCTGACTGGAGAGTTCCCAGGTGACTACGGCTGGGACACAGCCGGTCTGTCAGCAGACCCCGAGACCTTCGCCAAGAACCGTGAGCTCGAGGTGATCCACTCCAGATGGGCCATGCTCGGTGCACTAGGCTGTGTCTTCCCAGAAGTCCTTGCAAAGAATGGTGTCAAGTTCGGTGAATCAGTATGGTTCAAGGCCGGTTCACAGATCTTCTCCGAAGGTGGCCTCGATTACCTTGGCAACCCAAACCTCGTCCACGCACAGAGCATCCTGGCCATCTGGGCTTGCCAGGTTGTGCTGATGGGGTTCGTGGAAGGCTACCGGGTTGGGGGCGGTCCTCTTGGTGAAGGGCTGGACCCAATCTACCCAGGAGGGGCGTTCGACCCACTGGGATTGGCGGATGACCCAGATGCCTTTGCTGAGTTGAAAGTGAAGGAGCTGAAGAATGGAAGGCTGGCAATGTTCTCCATGTTTGGATTCTTCGTGCAGGCTATTGTCACTGGAAAGGGTCCTATTGAGAATCTGTTCGACCATGTTGCAGACCCTGTTGCCAACAATGCTTGGGCTTATGCCACCAACTTCGTCCCCGGAAAATGAAGAATCGAGCAGCTTCGTCCCTCTCCTTTACAGTCGAGCAGGTTCGGTAGGAAACGACTGTTCTTGACTCCATGAGTGAGCGCTGTGTAATGTCTTAGTCCAAACTTCCTGCAATCAAATTTGTATGATTGAAGTTCAAAGTTGTGCTTTGTGATGTTTATATAGAATTTCTAATTAGATGAACTGCTACTTGCTTGTTTCAACCAAAATTCAATCCTTGCTAGCCTTGGCCTTAGGCATTAAGAACCCAAATTTTCTTGAGGTCATTGATAACTCAATCTCGAGCAGGTTGATCGTTTAGAAATGATGTGTTTATTGTTGTAAATCTTATAACAAAGAGCAAACTCAAGTAAAAAACTGTGCACGTGCATTAAGCTTCCACCCATTTATCAGTTATGCACGCTCCCGATTCATAGTACCGTTGATACGACCTACTTAGTAGATTGGAGCCAAAACTTTGAACCTACTATAAATACGATAGATTTTGTTGGGCAAACAAACAAAGGAAGGGACTCATAAAGTTGGTTGAACACCCAAAATGTTCGATGGACCAATTTTGATTATCCAAAAAGTCCATGAAATTGAGCAATGCATGATCCACTCTGCCCAAGTGTAGAGGTGACAAGCTCGGAAGTTGATTTGGCAAGATAAGGGGCTTGGTTAGTTGATCTCGAATCTACGTGGAAAGAATCAAACATAGAAACTCATTTTAAAAGCTATCGAGAAAGCCCAAAACATCAGTTCAATGAGATTGACACGTCATTCCAAGGCAAAACCCTAAAAAAATACAGGGCCAATCTTTATTAGTTCGATAGATATTTCAATTTTGTGTTTAAGGAGTTTAAAAATAATATTTATAAGTTCTTAAAAAAAAAAAAAAAAAAAGTGAAAGTTTAGGTTCATATCTCCAAGAATTGAGGGTTAATAAACAAACACAACGATGAAAAGCCCACGGGATGGTTCTAATTTCCTTAACACCAATGAAACAATAATGCGAGAAATTGTGGATTCAACCCTTTTCTTTGGAGAAAAATTAAACCCTTTTCTTTGGAGAAAAATTAAACCCTTGTCTTGTTTCATTACCTTCTCTATGAACTAATTTCTTGCCGAAAAGGAGAACTTGGAAACTTTCAGGCCATTGGCGGCTGCGGTTCGAGTTCGGTTGGTTTCCTTTTCTTCTTCCTCTTCCCTCCGCTAGCCTAATTGGGGGCTCGATCTCTATGGTTCCCCAATGACCACGTCGGCCGCAACGCTGATAATCCCACATCTCTATTCCCTTAATTCCGCCGCCCCATCTCCCAGATCTTTGAAACCTTCAGAAGCTTCACGACTGCCCACAATCCGAAATGTTAAAACCCCACAAAACCCCACCTCGTATTTGCCTCCATAGCCTTATTTCTCTTCTGGGTTCTCACCAATCTCTCAGTTTCTCGTCGGAGCCGCACCCTTGTTCAGTCCCTTCACTTTCGCCCGCCGCAGACCCTTTGCCGGAATTGGTATCTAAAATCTCTGACATTCTTTCGCGCCCCAAATGGGAATGGAGTTCAGAGCTTTGCCATTTGAGCCGCAAACTCGAACCCCATCATGTAGTGAAGATCCTCGAAACGCACGAGAACACGGATTTAATCTTGCGCTTCTTTTACTGGGTTTCGAAGAGGCATTTTTTCCAACACGACATGAGCTGCTTCGTTTCGATGCTGAATAGGTTAGTCCAGGATCGTCTCTTTGCGCCTGCTGATCATGTAAGAATTTTAATGATCAAAACATGCAGGAATGAGGGAGAGATTAAGAGGGTAATTCAGTTTTTGAGTGAGATTAATACTAAACATGGTTTTGGTTATACTTTGTATAGTTTTAATACTCTTTTGATTCAGTTGGGCAAGTTTGAAATGGTTGGTTTAGCTCGAGATGTGTATATTGAGATGCTTAACAGTGGGATCAGACCCAGTTTATTGACATTTAATACAATGATAAATATCTTGTGCAAGAAGGGAATGGTTCAAGAAGCAGAGGTGATTATGAGTCATATTTTTCATTATGATGCCGGTCCAGATGCTTTTACCTACACATCTTTGATTCTTGGGCATTGTAGAAATCAAAACTTAGATTTGGCC